AGGCCATTAGGCCTGAATTTGTGGGAGGAGTAAGTCTCCTACTTAAACTCCCAGCCCCTACTCACCGCTGCCGCTCAGCTGATTGTCCAGCACTTCCGGTCCAGCTTCCCGCCAGAACTGTTCCTGTTTCCAGCAGTCAGATGTCCTGATCAATCCTCCGTCCGTTCGAGGTCCTTCCACTCGGTTTTTCCCCAGTCGAGGTACCCGACTTCCGTTCACGAGACCGGCAAGTTCACGTAAGCTAGGCGAAGGAATTAGCGTTCGCTATTCCCCGCCGTTCGGGCCTAAAAACGTAGGGGTAGTCTCCCTCTATCAGATTTACACGAATACATGTTCTTCGTATAAAGTTTTTCTGTTCGCGCCAAAACGCACGAACGTTCGGCTCATTTCACTATTGTTTAAACATATTCGCACAGAAACTACCGAATCCATATATAAAGTATTACGCTCATTTTATTATCTGTATTCCCTTTTTCCGTTCGGTCACTCTGTACCAACCTATTTCGTACGGTTAATACACGAACACCATTTTACTAAACCATATTCGGCTATATTTCTATTCAAACAGGCTAAAGTATGCACAAGTTCAAATCACACGAATCCTACTACATTTTCGTATATTCCCTGTTCGGTCAGATAACTACTAATACCTACACATCAGTATGGGGTTATACTAATCTGGTTTAACTACCAGCCTTGTGTTTTCCTGATTAACGTATTTTTTACTGTAAAACTATTATTAATATACAGCTTTTCTTACACATATTTTAACTAATAAACTTCACCCCTTCTTAACCATGGTACATACCTTCATCCGTCACTAATACAAGTAATAACATTTTTCTAAAAACACACAGATATAAGTCATTAAACACTACGTGCCAGAAATACCCGTTACACCAACATCTGTACTATTCCTTTTCACATAATCACGCTGTCACATATTTTGGCTTTTACAGATTGCATCGGTTTCTCGCTTTTCTGCGCTAAAGTTGTTATTTCAAGGTCTTTTATTACAGGAACAGGTATTGTATCTTATCACTTTGAGTTATCGGGTTTTATTACTTACCTTCACATCTGTCGCTAAATATGGAAATTTTCTTTGGTCAAACCCTTAGCTCCTGTATTATTCTAAGCTTCCACCGATTCTACGCAGTTAACCTGCCAAGCTTAACGTAATCTCTGTACTTCAAACCAAGGTATAGTTCACTCTCTTTTTTTCTACATCCCATACTAGACCTCACGCGGTCTCAATTTCATTACTACCTTCCCTCAGGCTTACGCCCATGATACGTTATCTCTTTACTATTTGTCTACACAGACATTCGGTCGTACGGCCATCAGGCTCTGAAAACACCAAAACCTGACCCGGTACTCAGCCATACCTTCAGGTACTTACGTCCTTACTCAAGTACGTCCATTCGCCACCCCAAGGCCTCATTCTGCCTTCTCACAAATATCTAAAATCATCCCATTCTCACACCTAACCTTCCAGATCCCTCAATGCAGGATCTCACGTTGCGCCCCTAACAAACCAAAACCCAATACTATTCATACGATATCACGATACGGATAAATACATCAACATCTGTCTTAAATCCTCAGGATTCTTCCTCAAGGACAGCAATAAGACAAGACTCTCTACACTTATTACCACCAGGAGGCTCCAGATACCATTTGCGACCAGTCAAGGTTAGTATCCACACACCACTCCAGTCCTCTCACTTTACCCTTAAGCATACAATCGAACTGGCTACAGGGTCCAGGCTAATGCATTAGCCCACCCTATCAGGAAATCCAATCCCGCGAGGCCTACCACCCCCACCCCATAAATATATATACGTAAAATTATTATAGATATATATATATGTGTGTGTGTGTGTGTGTGTGTGTGTGTATATATATATATATATATGTGTGTGTGTGTGTATATATATATATATATATATGTATATAGTTTTTTAAAATTATTTTTATTTATATATAGGAATATATATAGTGATATATACATATATACTTATGTATATAGATATATATATTATTTCATTCTACATGTATTTTGATATAAATATATATATATATATATATATATATATATATATATATATATATATATATACATAAAAATAGATAAGCAAGGCACTCCTCCTAGAGCTTACTTAAGCAGATTCAAAAATTGCCTAGGTGCAATCCCGCGTAAAATATATAGTAGAGAATAAAGGGAGCACACTAGGACTACTTCTGAGTGGAAAAAAATAGTATTTACTGTATTATAAAATAATACATGTCCTGTACTCTGCACAGGACATGTATTATTTTATACAGGGAGTGCAGAATTATTAGGCAAGTTGTATTTTTGAGGATTAATTTTATTATTGAACAACAACCATGTTCTCAATGAACCCAAAAAACTCATTAATATCAAAGATGAATATTTTTGGAAGTAGTTTTTAGTTTGTTTTTAGTTTTAGCTATGTTAGGGGATATCTGTGTGTGCAGGTGACTATTACTGTGCATAATTATTAGGCAACTTAACAAAAAACAAATATATACCCATTTCAATTATTTATTATTACCAGTGAAACCAATATAAAATCTCAACATTCACAAATATAAATTTCTGACATTCAAAAACAAAACAAAAACAAATCAGTGACCAATATAGCCACCTTTCTTTGCAAGGACACTCAAAAGCCTGCCATTCATGGATTCTGTCAGTGTTTTGATCTGTTCACCATCAACATTGCGTGCAGCAGCAACCACAGCCTCCCAGACACTGTTCAGAGAGGTGTACTGTTTTCCCTGCTTGTAAATCTCACATTTGATGATGGACCACAGGTTCTCAATGGGGTTCAGATCAGGTGAACAAGGAGGCCATGTCATTAGATTTTCTTCTTTTATACCCTTTCTTGCCAGCCACGCTGTGGAGTACTTGGACGCGTGTGATGGAGCATTGTCCTGCATGAAAATCATGTTTTTCTTGAAGGATGCAGACTTCTTCCTGTACCACTGCTTGAAGAAGGTGTCTTCCAGGAACTGGCAGTAGGACTGGGAGTTGAGCTTGACTCCATCCTCAACCCGAAAAGGCCCCACAAGCTCATCTTTGATGATACCAGCCCAAACCAGTACTCCACCTCCACCTTGCTGGCGTCTGAGTCGGACTGGAGCTCTCTGCCCTTTACCAATCCAGCCACGGGCCCATCCATCTGGCCCATCAAGACTCACTCTCATTTCATCAGTCCATAAAACCTTAGAAAAATCAGTCTTGAGATATTTCTTGGCCCAGTCTTGACGTTTCAGCTTGTGTGTCTTGTTCAGTGGTGGTCGTCTTTCAGCCTTTCTTACCTTGGCCATGTCTCTGAGTATTGCACACCTTGTGCTTTTAGGCACTCCAGTGATGTTACAGCTCTGAAATATGGCCAAACTGGTGGCAAGTGGCATCATGGCAGCTGCACGCTTGACTTTTCTCAGTTCATGGGCAGTTATTTTGCGCCTTGGTTTTTCCACACGCTTCTTGCGACCCTGTTGACTATTTTGAATGAGTGCTGCATCCCTCTGCAAGATATCTCACTATTTCTGACTTTTCTGAGCCTGTCAAGTCCTTCTTTTGACCCATTTTGCCAAAGGAAAGGAAGTTGCCTAATAATTATGCACACCTGATATAGGGTGTTGATGTCATTAGACCACACCCCTTCTCATTACAGAGATGCACATCACCTAATATGCTTAATTGGTAGTAGGCTTTCGAGCCTATACAGCTTGGAGTAAGACAACATGCATAAAGAGGATGATGTGGTCAAAATACTCATTTGCCTAATAATTCTGCACTCCCTGTAATACAGTAAATACTATTTTTTTCCACTCAGAAGTAGTCCTAGTGTGCTCCCTTTATTCTCTACTATATATATATATATATATATATATATATATATATATATAACTTCCACAAGAAAAGGCTGCTCTCCGGACTTAAAATCAAAGATTTTATTGAAAATGTTTAAAAATGATGACCAACGTTTCGGTCCCCGATCGGGACCTTCCTCAGGGTCAGAGACAACAGGACAACCTATATATATATATTAATTTTAAAATACAGTTAGAACGAAATTACGTATGTATATATATTTTTTATCTATTTATTTTTTATTATTTTTGTAATTTTATTTTTTAACGTATTTATATATTTATTTTTTATTATATATATCATTGTACGTGTATTTTGATATTTATATATATAATTATGTATATATTAATATTAAACTACACGTAGACAGTGTATGTGTATTTATGTGTATATATATATATATATATATATATATATATACTTAGATAATATATATAATAAATATATATATGATCTAAGTATATATTATTTAATTTTACACTGTTTTAACATCTTTTAATTTTATTTTCAGGCAGCAGGGGGAGTACCTGTCATTACAGGTACTCCCCCTTCTGGCAATGCCTTGGACGGCTCTGCCGTCCATGTGATCGTGAGGTCCTCGCAAGGACCTCGCGATCACATGGCCCAGGGGGGCCGAAGAGGACGGAGGGGGACTCCCTGGGCTCCCAGGTAAGTCCCCATACCGTGATCGCCAGCGTGGGATTGCCGGCGACCGGTTAAGTCCAAAAGATTGCAGAGCCATCTAAATAAGGACGGCATAGAACGCCCTGTGGTCTTAAGGGGTTAAAGATATCCATGAATTGTTTCACAAACTGTAAACATGTTGTGCAAAATTGGGAGACTCTGATCACTTATAATTATTATCATAATTGGTATATATGTAGCGCCAACTTATTCTGCAGCGCTTTACAATTTTATGAAATGGAAAAATTAAAACATATATGAGACAGGGCATGGCTGACTGAGCAGCAAGAAAGACGTGCCTGTGTGGAGCTCTGTTAAAGAAACAGCAGACTAGTGTATTTAAAAACGCTCCAACAGGCCTCACACCTCAATACCCCATCCAGCTGATATTATGGGGTGAAAATACAAAAAAAATCTGCATCCCAAAGGCATCAAAACTATGTTGTACTAGCTTTCATTTGACAGGCCAACCCCACAGGCTGCTCCCTAGATGGCACCTGTGGCGCTGAGTGAAGACGAGACCTCAGAAGCAACCCGAGAAGAAGAGCAAACTTCTGTGTCTCCCCTAGAAAGCCGTACCTACAGGAAGTTTGAGTCAAAATGGGACATTAACCCCTTAAGGACACAGCAAAAGCTTTTCTTACCCTTAAGGATACGAGCCATTTTTGCATTTTTTGCTGTTTGTATTCAATGCAATTTGCATCTCTGTAATTTATTGCAACAACACATATTATATACCATTTTTCAGAGGGCAAACAGGGCTTTAATTTTATGTCACACATACATAGATAAATTCTCATTAATTATAAAAGAAATGTCACAAAATGGGGGGAAAAAAAACCCAAAAATTAGTTTTTCACAGTTTTGGCAATAATAGCGTGTGCATATGTCCAGCTTAGAAAAATAAATTCAAAATAAATTAATTTATGAGTCTTGATTTATAGAATACATAATATATATAGGATTTCAGCTTATTTTGAAAGTTATAGGTCACAAAGTACAAGGACTAAAATAAAATTGTAATGTGAATCAATTTTAGAAGTTGGTATGTTTGTCTTGCAGGTTTAGTAGCCACCACAGAAAACAAAATTGCCACACAAAAGTACATATTTATATAAAGTAGACATCACAGGTTATTTACCTAAGGTTAGTTTGACACTTTTTTTACGTAACAATTTCATCGCCAATCTCTGCTAAATATTGGAGTAAAATTGAGTTTTTTTCTCAATTTTGGCATATACACATATAACAAAGTTTTTGTAATGTGTATTTCGTAAAGCTGGAGTATGCTATTCCTGCACAGAACCCCATATTGTGTTCAGGTGTTCATTGTATGCCTTTGGCACTTTTCTTTAAAGCTACAATGCCATATAAGAGACAAGGCTATTTCTATCGTTAGAATTTTCCTAGATGGATTTGACGGGCCTATGTCTCATTTTAGGGTTATATAGCAGTATGACTGTTCAAATAACCCCACAAAGGACTTTCATTTGATAAAGCAGACACTCCAGGGTATCTAATATGATGTATATTGTGCCTTAACTTGTCACCATTATTTCACCAATTTATGTCAGTTTGTGGTGAGGGAGGGAAAAATTCAATTTTTACATATGTTGCATTTTTGCTGAGTATTTCTTATACTTGATATGTACCACTGTCATAAAAATCCCCAAATTATGCTCGGTTACATCTTATGAGTAAAACAATATGCCCAATGTATGACCTAGACACTACTTTGTAAAGTTACAGAGCTGTAAAAGAGACGTGACAAGTTCAGTTTTTTAAGTGTGAATTTTCATGGAGGGTTTTGATGCGTCCATGTCCCACTTTGGAGCACTTGAGCAGACTACATATTACAACTACACCATAAACGCATACCATTTCTTAAAGAAGAAATGGTATTTCAAAAGGCATATTTTGAACCTTAGCATGGGATAATTTTTCTGCTAGCTTGTACCAAGTGTAGTCGCATTTTTTCTGCCTTTTTGATGCACAAAGTAAGTTTGCACAGTATATTTTGCAAACCTTATGTGTGCTATGACTGTATAATACTAAATATGTTGCTCAGCTATGTCGGCTGAGTACAGCAATACCCCGCATGTACCTTTGCCAGGTATATGTGGACATTGAAGGGGCACATTTGAGACACAACCATTCCAGTTTTTTCAAACTTTTAATTTTTACGTTGTGTCCATGTCTCATTTTAGAGTATTTTACCAGGCTATTAAATCCAATTACCACATAAAGGCATGCCATTTCTTAAAGAAGACATCACAGGGTAGTTCAAAAGGCATATTTTGAACCTTAGCGTGGTATAATTTTTCCGCTAGCTTGTACCAAGTGAAGTGGTAATAAGCATTTTTCTGCCTTTTTGACACACAGTGAGTTTTCGCAGTATATTTTGCAAACCTTATGTGTGCTACGACTATATAATACTTCATATGTTGCTCAGCTATGTCGGCTGAGTTCAGCAATACCCTGGTATGTACCTTTGCCATGTATATGTGGACATTTAAGGGGCACATTTGAGATACAGCCAATCCAATTTTTTTCTAACTTTGAAGTTTACACTGTGTCCATGTTCCAATTTGGAATAGATTAGCTGGCTGGTTATTCAAACTTCCCCACAAACACATACTATTTATTAAAGAATACACCACGGTGTAATTCAATAGGCATATTGTGAACCTTAGCGTGGTATAGTTTTTTTGCTAGTATGTTCCAAGTGTAGTGGTAATGAGCATTTTTTTTAATCTATTTTTTTACTTTGTAAAACTTTTTTTACTTTGTAAAACTTGTTTTCAAACTTTTTTACTTATTAAATGTTTTAAACTTTCTTAACTTATTTACACTTTAAAAAAATGTCATAAACTTTTTTTACCGTTAACCCCTAACTAGTAGTAAGCAGCACTAACAGTAAATTCCCCACTTTCCCATAACTCCCACCCACCCCAGCTAGAAAAATATTTAATTATAAAATATTTAAATTAATTAATTAAATAAATTGAACCCCTGAGGGTTAAAAAATAAATAAAAGTTAATCCTCAGGGGTTAAAAAAATTAGATCACAGTATAATACTGGGGTTAATTTTTATTTGGACTGGGTCAAGGGGGTGGTATTTTTTTTTTACTTAAATGTTGCTAAAACATTTTTTTAAAACTTTTTAAACTTTTTAAAGCTTATTTTAAAACTTTTTTTAACGTTAACCCATAGTTAGCCTAACACCAAATCCCCCAATTCCCCACTAACTGCCACCCATCCCAGCTAGCTAAATATATAATTTTAAAATATGTAAATTAATTAATAAAATAAATTTAACCCCTGAGGGTTAGAAAAAAAAATTCACCTTCAGGGGTTAAAAAAAAAAATCAGATGAAATGTAATCCCTGCCAATTGATCACTGTAGTCAGTGATCAATTGACAGGGAAGGGGTTAATTTTTATTTTAAATGGGTAAAGGGGGGAGGGATTTTACTTAAATTATTTTTTTTTACAGGGAAGCAGATCAGCTCTGATCTGTCTCCCTGTACTTCACACAGAACCCGGAAGCACAGGGAGGCTGTTCATGAGTCCCTGCAGCACATGTGATTGCTCTGACAGCCTGTCAGAGCAATCACTGCTGCAGGGGCAGCGTGATTCGGTGCTCCCAGTCCGAGGCAGACCGGGTGAGCGTCAACCCTGAGATCGCCGTGATTGCGGCGATCTGGGATTAACTTTAGTAAATGACAGAAATTTTCCGTCAACGGTCCTTAACACAAGGACAAGGTTGATGGAAAATTTCTATCTTCGGTCAGGAAGGGATTAAAAACCTCTTGCTGGAAATGAGACAGGTGTTAAAAGGAGACCTGCTAGAAACTCAGTCTGAGCTGGGTATCCTGCGTCAAAGACTTACAGACGTGGAGTCCAAGGATGGAGCCAGGGTAAAGGGTGCAGACCGCTCAAAACGAGATCCAGGACCTCGCTCAACAAGTCCAAAAACTTACCAGGACTGTGACGGTGATGAAATCACGGTATAGAAGGAAGAATATCCACCGAGATTGCAGACCCCGAGATTGTCACTTCGGCATTCCGGATCCTCAAAGCCATGTCTGCGCAAGCTGAAGAACCAAGAGACATCATCGCAGTGATGAAAGACATTGCAGAGTGGTCTGCTATAATGTCCTGCTCAAGAGAGCTTGGTAGTGTCCAAATTGAGGACCACACTGTAGCAATCTATGGAAATCTCCCATTTGCTGTGCTGGCGGCAAAGAGGCAGCTAGCACCAGTCGCATGACGGCTGTGGGAGGCAGTAATTAAGTAGAGGTGGGGGTTGGACAGATCACTAATGGTTCAGCAGGGAAATGAAACACTCACCTTACACTCCACTGGGGACCAGGCGACCTTTCTTCAGCGCCTACACTTGCCAGACACAGACTCAAAGTGGGCCCATAAAGGAAGGACCAGCGCAAAACACTGACTCAAAATACACCTCAGGCACATGTAGTAGTAGTACTGACTATCCCAAGCCCGCTTCCATTAGTAACGCCACAGGAGGTTTTTACATTTGTTTAATACAACACGTGTCACGCTAGCTAGGGAGAACATAGTAATTCTTCACTAGGTGCTCTACTTTGTGTTTTACTCCTTTTTGTGGTTTGCTTTACGTTCCTTAGTTTCAATATCAGTTTCTTTTTATTTACCATTTAATGGAGTGATGTAATCATACCCAGGAGCAGATTACACTTGTTTATGACAGCTGATGCCACAGGTCTTTCAAATAAGGCACACCCTCATGTAGTGCTTAAAGTTGCTGTAATTAATAGATTGCCTCATGTATGACTTTGTAAAATCATTGCTTTACCATCTTCTTACTCTCATACTACAATACAGTTGTGTTTTGTGCGTGCAAAATCCAATAATATACAAACTGGAAAAAAAATATGAGACAATTACAAAATGATACAGGAACAATAGGTAGATGAGGACCCAGCTCAAACAAGCTTACAGTCTAGAGGAGTGGATTATAAAGACACAGTAGGAATGGCATCCAAGGGGACAGCAAACAAGGTGGAAAAGTATCAGAACTGTTGCGAGTGGAGTTTAGCTTTTTAGGAGAGAACAAGAGAGAGATATGTGACATAGATGTTACTCTGGCAACTCATAAGCATTTCAGAACAGATGTGTTTTGAGGGACTTCTTAAGTGATTGAAGGCTTGGAGAGAGTCTGATGGGGCAGACAGACTGTTCCAAAGGAAAGCAACTGCCCATGAAAAGTCCCGCAAGTGCAAATTGGCAGTAAGGGTGCGAGCAGCTCACAGGAGAATATCACAGGCTGAGCTGAGAGACAGAGAAGGGGCATACCTACGAATCAGTGAAGAAATGTAATAGGGGCAAGAGGTGTTTAGAAGTTTATAGGTAAGGGTTAATATTTTAAATTGACTACCTACCAAGAAGCCAGTGTAAGGATCGACAGACCAACTAGAAAAGAATTACAGTAATCCATGCAACAGATTACCAGAGCATGAACAAGCTCTTTGGCAGCATCCTGCGTATGCGGGCAATGTTTTTAAGGTAGAATGACAATGCTAGATCATTACACAATTATATATTACTCTTGAAGTATTATAACTATAGAAAATAGTTTCTAATCTTAAAATGAAAATTATAGTTAATCAGTGCAAATGTGCACATAAAGCATGTGTTAAACTGAGTATATATACATTTTTATTAATTATATGCTTTTCTCTTCTTCAGATTTTAATCCCCATTTCTCTATATGTCTCTATTGAATTAGTAAAGTTGGGTCAAATTTTCTTTGTGCATAATGACCTTGATTTATATGATGAAGATATTGACCTACCTGTTCAGTGCCGGGCACTAAACATCACAGAGGATCTTGGACAAATTCAGTATATCTTCTCAGACAAAACAGGAACATTGACTGAAAATAAAATGGTATTTCGAAGGTGTACCATTGTAGGGAATGAGTTTTCTCATCAAGAAAATGGTAAGTGCCAAAAAAGCATACAGTACTTGATGCAGATATATGGCTGTATTTAGTAAACAGATATCTAATATGGCTTGTAAAAAGTAGCTATTTACATAGGTTACTAGGGTAGTCATTAGGCAAGTTATCAATGGAGTCTGTGTATTTAAAGCACATTAGTCCCCTTATCTAGTTTTCATAAATATATTTATCATTACAGATGATGATTTTTGTTACAAAATATAAACCAGAAGATGCACTGCACTGTCATGTTTTCCTTCCTCCCTGTGACTGATGATTATGCTTCCCTTATTGTCACTTGCCTTTTTGGATATATCTATTATCTTTTCTTCCTGTATCTTGTCCTCAAACTCTGGGTGCTGTCATTTTGTATTCCTTTGTGTGTACTGCTTTTACTGATTATGGTTATATTAAATTGTCAGCTGAAGCAGAAAATAGCTGAAGCTACAACCATTGTCAGGTTTTGCCAATTTGAATGTCATACTTAAGTAAAAGAAAAATGTTTCCACATTCAAACCTTTTCCTTATGTTTTTTTTTTTTTTTAAAGTAGCAAAAATAAAATGAAATTGAGACACTGGGAGCTGTATAGTAGCAGATATATTAGATATATTTGGTGACAGATAAGCTTTATCTCTTCTTCTCATACTTACATCTATGGGGAAATTGCTATCCAGTTACTTAAGAAATGCTTATCTATTTTAAAGCAATCTAATCCTCAGAAAGAGAAAGAAGAAATCTGTGGAAAGAAACTAGATGTGCTGCTCTAAAAATGAATAAATATTGGAATTTGTGAGACCCCATGATTTAATTAGAGATAGATTATAGGCTCTTTCACATTAAGAAAAACAGTTGGATTTCTCTAACATTAATAAATTATTAAAACAGACAGATGGGTAAGCGCTTCTACAGTTTGATGGAAGAAGAATTTGTGGGCAGCAACACAACCTCACCAGGAGTCTATATCTGTCCACAAATGTAAATAACATGCAAGAAGGATGGGTGTTAAACCTTGGAATGTCAGAGAGGATATGGAAAATAAAAAAATAAATCAAAAGCGTGATACGTTTAGATAATAGAGTTATCTAAATTTGGTAAAGGTGCTTACACTCTTTAGAGCTTTGTATGGGCCTGAGCATTACCGCCTAGGTCGCCCTTTCCAGTTGTGATCAGCTCCAGAGTGACTATAACTTCTTGCACAGGTTATCACGGTATCACCCAAACACTAGTCGAGACTTAGTGAAGGGTGAAGAAGACTGGTTTTATTATGGCCAGATGACCCATTTATATACACAGCAAGGGTACAGGAAACCACGCCCAGAACACTCCCACAACCTGCCCACGAATCTCTTGTGTCAGCAAGACTAAGCATAAAAATATAAAACATCAAAAACACATATAAAACATAGGAACCCCCACATGCCATACATCCCCAGAAAGGTCTTCCTAGGGTGCACATTGTGTCCTAAAAGCGATCCGGCACAGAGTTCCAGCAGGCTGAATAAGATTTCCCAGTCATGTCCACTATACCTCAATGGCTAGGGAAGGCTGTTAGCAAGACGTCGATTGGGTGTCCCGTCACAGTTAGTAATAGTGGTAAAAGTTTAATTTGGAACACTGCAGCTTTAAAGAACCAAACCCAAATCCACCCCTGCAACAAGAAGGCCATTTAATTTGGAACACTGCAGCTTTAAATAACCAACCCCAAATCTATCCCTGCAACAATAAGGTCATTTAATTTGAAACACTGCAGCTTTAAAGATCCAAACCCAAATCCATCCCTGCAACAAGAAGATCATTTAATTTGGAGCACTACAGCTTTAAAGAACCAAACCCAAATCCCCTGCCCCTCTATTCAGCCCCTGTCCCTTTCCTCAGCCCCTGTCCTCCTACTCAGCCCCTGTTTCCCACTCAGCCCCTGTCCCCTTGCTCAGCTCCTATCCCCCTTGCTCAGCTCCTGTCCCCCTTCCTCAGCCCCTGTCACCCTTCCTCAGCCCCGGTCCCCCTTCCTCAGCCACTGCCCCCCTCCTCAGCCCCTGTCTACCTTCTCAGCCCCGTCCTTTTCTTCAGCCTTGTCCCTTTCCTCGGCCCCTGTCCTTTTACTCAGCCCCTGTCCCTTTACTCAGCCCCTGTCCCCTTGCTCAGTCCCTGTCCCCCTTCCTCAGCCTCTGTCCCCTTGCTCAGCCCATGCCCCCCCCCTCAGCCCTATGTCCCCCCCCCCACCAGTGCGCTGAGGGAAGAAAAGTGCTCGGTGGATGAAAGAGACATGCAAAAAGAATGGGGGGGGGAGACACACAAAGGGACTGGGGAAGAAATACACAAGGGGGCGTATAAGAGACACACAAGATGGTATAAGACATATTAACCCCTTAAGGACACATGACATGTGTGACATGTCATGATTCCCTTTTATTCCAGACGTTTGGTCCTTAAGGGTATAAGGGGGGATAAAATACACTAAAGGTGGTAAGAAAATCAAAAGGGGGGTTACAAGACACACAGGTGAAGATGCATTTTTTAAAGGGGGGTGGCAAAATGCATCTTTGCCTGTCTAGCCAAAAATCCTTGCACTGGCTCTTTTTGGAACACTGCAGCTTTAAAAAACCAAACCCAAATCTATCCCTGTTACAAGAAGGCAATTTAATTTCACTTGGTTGTGTGTGTGTGTGTGTGAGGGGTCAGTGTGTGTGAGGGGGGCAGTCAGTGTTTTTGTGAGGGGTATAGTGTGTATAAGGGGTGTAGTGTGTGTGAGTGTGAAGGGAGTAGTGCATGTGCAAAAGGGCAGTGCATGTGTGAGGGGAGCATCTGTGTGTGTGTGAGGAGGCAATTAATGTGATGAAGCAGTCTGTGTGTGTGTGTGTGTGAGGGGGGCAGGCTGTGTAAGTGTGTCAGGGGGGAGTGTGTGTGTGTGAGGGGTTTAGTGTGTGTGAGGGGAGCAGTGTGTGCGTGGGAGGGGTGTAGTGTGTGTAAGAGGTGTAGTGTGTGTTTGTGTGTGAAGGGTGCATAGGATCTATGCTTTGTGTAGGTGAGTGAGATGTGAAAATCTATCGTAACCTCTCCCTTCTTCTTACCTTGTATATCTTGTATAGACATAAGACTGCAGGCCCTGGTGGTCCAGTGGTGGCATTTTCACTTTACCCTGCAGCTCCTCCGGCTGCAGGCTGACTCTCCAGTCCTCCTGCGAGCACAGTAATGAAGTGTTGCCATGGTAATATGCAGCAATGCTCTGAGCAGCCTGCTCGCGGGAGGAACACAGCACCTCCCAGGTCCTTCCGTCCCTCTGCTGGAACTAAGTGCCAGTGGGCTGGTGAGTTATTTCCTCACCAGCCTGAGAGGCTTTACAGCAAGGCTACCTCTGCATGGGCCGCAAGGGGAGATGAAAGCCATTGAGGCACACTGGACATTTTCGGCAGAACCCACCACCACCCACCTGAAATCCCAAACTGCAGTCAGCAATAGGGACCAGGTTGACTGCCCCTAGTGTGCACAATATATGTTTTTGTATTTGTTTTATAAAATATCCTAGAATGGGGATTGTACCACTCCACACTATTACAGTGGAGCCACAGTCTACTGAAATATACATGTGTGCATTATACTTATATTATAATTACCATCTACTATTACTAGCAATGTACAATAAAGAGGAATTTTGTGTTTACTTCCATCTCATATGCTGTTAAATATACCAATTATAAGAAGAGAAGCTCCCTCATATCCTCAAGTGGGGATTATACCTTTTACAACAGGCTATAAGAGCTGATACACAGCTCTAAAGAGTTTAATTGCACAGGTGGCACGCCAGGCCCTCTCTGTTGGCACGCGGCCATGGGTCGCCGGGAGAGGGGGCCGCTGGCTGTCTGCAGAGTAGGCACCTGTCTGCCCGAAACGGCAGGCGCCTACTCTGCTTCCGGGTCGGGAGGCAGGGGGAGGGCTCTAGGAAGCAGCTCTCTTATCCTCCTGCGAGCAAGCTGTGTGGAGCGTTGCCGCGCATTACCATGGCAACACTCCACACAGCACCATGGCAACACTCCACACAGAGGATGCTTCCTAAAATACTTACCACCACCAGACCACCAGGGATGGCTTTGTCCCCCCTCCTTCACCAAAGGTAAGAGGAAGGGAGAGGGGATACAGAATTAATATAACTTTTTTTAAATGTATCTTTACCCCTACCCCACACAGCACAGCACCCTACCCCCCGACACAGCACCCCTACCCCCCGACACAGCACCCCTCCCCAACAGCACCCCCTGCAGCCAACAACACCCCTACCCCCCACAGAACCCCTACCCCCAGAGCACACCCCTACCCCCCACAGCACCCCTACCCCCAGAGCACCCCTCCCCAGCACACCTACCACAGAACCCCTACCACAGAACCCCTACCCCCTACCCCCAGAGCACCGTGCCCCCCAGAGCACCACTCTTACACAGCACCCCTCCCTCCACAGCCACCCTACCCCCACAGCACCCCTACCCCCAAGCACAGCCCTACCCCACACAACCCCTACCCCCACAGCACCCCTACCCCAAGCACAGCACCCCCTACCCCCTACCCCCACAGCAGCCCCCCACACAGCACAGCACACCCCTACCCCCACACAGCACATCACCCCTACCCCACACAGCACATCACCCCTACCCCCCACACACACAGCACCCCTACCTGTTTTGGATCAAAGAAAACTTTGATAATTTGTCTATCTACACCTTCCAAATTGATTGATTAATGCGTGCACGCTTTCCCTCGAAGTAATTCACACTGGAGACAACGTTTCTGATCAGTGAAAAACCAAGGAATGCTTTATTCCCCGGAGTGGGGGCTCCTTCTTAAAGCAAAAATACGTCACAGTTTAAACATACAGTATACATTCTACAATTGGTTAACAGTCTAAGGGCTCTTGTCTAAACCCCCCCCTTACAGGATGTAGTGTCATCATTACAGACTTCTCCCGCCTATATTGGATACACGATGGAAGGGGGAGTGAGTAGTTTCTTTCAGTTACTTTAACAGTGATTCTCCATTTTGTTACACGTGGCATATAGCTGTTAACTGGCACAAAGGAAGTGGGGGAGGAGTTCGTAAAGGAAGCTGTTAACACAGGAATTTTGCTTACACAAGGTTTGCTTGATGGGAAGGGGGATGCTTAGCAGGATGAAGAATTTACATAGGAAACAGCAACTGAACACTTTGTAGGGGGGAAGGGAATATTTACTCTAGAAGCCAGTTTTAACATAGTGAACACAGAATAAATAGACATTAGTAAATAGCCATTGTATTTTAATTCATCTGTCCATAACACTACCCACCACACATACAGCACCCCCACACACAGTACCCCCCCACACACACACAGCACCCCTCAGACACACACACAGCACTCCACACCCTTACACACAAACACATACACTACAACCCTCAATGCAGTATGCATGTGTGTATTCAGCAGTCTGTATGTGTATGTATTCAGCAGACTGTGTGTACTCAGCAGTCTGTGTGTGTGTATTCAGCAGTCTGTGTGTGTATATTCAGCAGTCTCTGTGTGTGTGTACTCAGCAGTCTGTGAGTGTGTGTACTCAGCAGTGTGTGTGTATTCAGCAGTCTGTGTGTGTGCATGTGTATGTATTCAGCAGATTGTGTGTATGTACTCAGCAGTCTGTGAGTGTGTATACTCAGCAGTCTGTGTGTGTTTATACTAAGCAGTGTATGTATTCAGCAGACTGTGTGTGTGTATTCAGCAGTGTATGTATTCAGCAGTCTGTGTGTGTGTGTGTGTGTATTCAGCAGTCTGTGTGTGTATTCAGCAGCCTGTATGTGTATTCAGCAGACTGTGTGTATTCAGCAGTCTGTGTGTACTCAGCAGTCTTTGTGTGTGTATTCAGCAGTCTGTGTGTGTGTATGCAGCAGTCTGTGTGGGTGTATTCAGCAGTCTGTGTGTGTGTGTGTGTGTATTCAGCAGTCTGTGTGTGTGTGTGTGTGTGTACACAGAGGGTGTCCAACAGGCCCTTAATGTTTGATGTTTAATCCCTGGCCAAGCAGATTAGGGCCTGTTTGGCCTGTGAGCTGTGATAGTAAATTCCATGATTTTTTATTGACTTCCACAGATAACTCATTTAGGCTTCAATTTAATATTTTGGATTTTTTTTTTCCTTCTAATTATTTAATAGTTTTTTTTTATCAACTTTTAAAATGATTTAATATTTTCATCACCAATCTAGTAAATCAGCCTTATGCCTTATGCATTAACCCTATGTACTTAAAGGAACGGTACAGCGTTAGGAATACAACAAGTATTCCTAACCCTATAGTGTTTCTCTTCTCTATTTAGTTTCTGCTCCTCCCAAACTAAATTTGGAAAAAATGGGATGTAGCGGAGTAGCAGGGGTTAATCCAATAGCTCTCCGCTTGGAAGAAAGATTCAGCATACAAAATCACAGGAACACAGCATAATCCACCTCCCCAAGGACTAGACGACACATAGTCAGGGAGTCAACTGAGGTCTTTATTCACAGGTCTGCTTTTATGCATTTTTCCCATGCAAGGGAGGTAACTTTCATAATTACTACAGTAACCAATCACACAGTGGTCACCTCCCCTACATCCCCTCCCCTTAGATTAACAGTTAACATCATTAATATGCACACAGTTTTCCCCAATTTGTGGATGTCCCCTAAATACAGGGGGTACACAGTTGAATAAGGGGTCCCCTGGTAGCCCTGATCTGGGTGAGCAACATACTCAAAATTCACCCAGATCGGACCAGGGGTTCGGGAGTTATGGCAGGCGAAAGATTTGACCGACCGCACGGGCACGGGTCAGTCTCTTCTTGTGAATCAAAAGTCCCGAAAGTCTATGGCATCCAGGCTTCATTTAGCGTTTGGATCAATCCCCTCGTTCGTGGGATTCCACATACCGAATGCTGGGGTGTTCACGTGGTTGGTTTGTGCCTTTTGAGCGTGCTGGAGGTCTTAGCGGTACTTGGTTAGTCGAATGCCCGATTTGAGTTCCAGGTGTTCGACGACCAAGTACCGCTGTTCGTGCGGAAGATGGCCGCCGCCACGTGTTTGGTAGGCGAAATGGCGGCCGCACACAAACTCGCAATCAGCACGCTTTGCAACATTGTTGCTTTTGCTAATAAGAGGCACACGACCACACCGGGGTGGTCCCTCGTTTGGTAGTTTAAGATAGTTCACATAAACAATAGTGCAGTCCATTCGTGAACCGAGTCTCTGATGATTCCTGCCTTTACACACATACGGCCATTATAATCCCAGCGTTCATTCGCATAGAAAAGTCAGTATCTTAGTGGCATGGTTTGCCACAATGCTCCCCCACAACCAAGCCGGCATACACAGTCTGATCCCAACGGATCGGCTTGGGGATGTCCGGAGGAGTGCTCACAGATCATTTTTCCAACTCGGTCTGTCGTGACAACCCGTCGGCGTTACCATTTTGCTTCCCCGGGCGATACTGGATGGTGAAATTGGCTGTAGTGCCAAGCTCCAGCGTAACAGTCTAGCGTTGTCCCCTGACACCCGGTTTAGCCACACCAACGGGTTGGGATCTGTGAGCAAGGCAAATTGTTGTTCATATAAATAGGGCTGCAGCTTCTTGAGGGCCCACACCACCGTCAGGCATTCTTTCTCGATGGCGGCATAGCTTACTTCCCTGGGCAATAGTTTTGGCTCAAGTAAGCGACCGGGTGTTCACCGCCATCGGCCCCAACCTGGCTCAGCACTGCTCCCAATCCAAACATAGAAGCGTCTGTATGAACGAGAAAGCGTTTAGTTGGATCGGGAGCGGCAAGTACAGGTGCATGAATTAGGGCAGTTTTCAGTTCTTGGAACTCCAGGTAACTATCTTGGGCAGGTTCTTCTTGGTAAGGTCTGTAAGGGGCTTGGCTATGGCACTATAATTGGGCACAAATTTCCGGTAATATCCGGCGGTCCCTAGAAAAGCTAGGACCTGGGTTTTAGTGCGGGGGCTCGGCCACTTGGCTACGGCCTCTATCTTGGCAGGTTCAGGTTTCTGCTGCCCACTTCCTACCCGGTGCCCTAAGTATTGTACTTCAGCCATCCCTACATGGCATTTGCGGGGTTTCAAAGTTAGGCCTGCCTCCCTGATGCGATCGAGGATGGCTCCTATATGGGTTAAATGCTCGGCTCAGGAGTTGCTAAATATCGCTATATCATTTAAGTAGGCGCAAGCATACTCCTGGGATCCGTCCAGTAACCGATCCACCAGCCGGAGCATTCTTCATCCCGAAGGGCATTACCTTAAATTGGTATAGCCCAAATGGGGTGACGAATGCGGACTTTGGGATGGCATCCTCGGCTAGTGGTATCTGCCAGTACCCCTTGCACAAGTCTATGGTTGTGAGGTACTGGCCCCTGGCCATTTTATCTATGAGCTCGTCGATTCGGGGCATAGGGTAGGCATCTGAGATCGTCTTATCATTAAGCTTCCGGTAGTCTACGCAGAAGCGGGTGGTTCCGTCCCGCTTCGGCACTAGTACTACCGGAGATGCCCATGGGCTATCCGAGTGTTCTATCACTCCTAGCTGCAGCATTTCGTCAATCTCCTTCCGCATATGTTCTCTTACGCACTCTGGTATGCGGTAGGGGGTTTGACGAAGAGGGTGTTGCCCTGGGGTTTCCACCCTGTGGGTGGCTAGCGGGGTATATCCGGGCTGATTGGAAAAGGTATCTCCTTTCTCTCTAATTAGCTCTAGTATCTGGGCCCATTCTCTAGGACTCAGCCTATCTCCCAGCTGTACTTCCCCTAATTCTGCTTCTGGCCCCCCTTTTTCTAGTAGGTCCGGTAGAGGTAAATTGTCGGGGTCCTCGGCGGCCGAGGCACAGATGGCATTTACTTCTTCGGCCCGTTCGTGATAGGGTTTTAGCATATTGACATGGAGCATGCGTTTACCGCCTGCTCCAGTACATGGGCCAATTATATATGTGGTGTCACACACTTGTTCCACCACCTTATAGGGACCCTGCCAGGAGGCCTGCAGTTTGTCATTCTGGATGAACTTGAAAACTGCGGTCCCTGGCCCCCCTATCGTACCACCTGCGCTGTCGTTGTTGGGCGGCCTGGAGATTGGATCGTACTGTCTGGATTAAGGTCTCCAAGTGTTCACTGAACTCTAGCACATATGGGACGATAGGGGTACCATTACTGGTGACTGTTCCCTCCCAGTGTTCCCTAATGAGGTCCAAAGGGCCCCGTACTCTCCTTCCGAATAGTAATTTGAACGGGGAGAACCCTGTGGACTACTGAGGTACCTCCCTGTAGGCGAAGAGCAGATGGGGAAGAAACCGTTCCCAGTCCTTCTGAGTATCCATGAACGTACGGAGCATTTGTTTTAGGGTTCCGTTAAAGCGTTCACAGTGCCCATTGGACTGGGGGTGGTAAGCTGAGTTTACGATAGGCTTCAACCCACATGCTCTCCACAACTGGTGGGTAACTTCTGCTGTGAATTGGGTACCCCAATCCGAGATAATCTCCTTGGGAAACCCCATTCGGGAGAATATTCAGATCAGGGTGTCCACTATGGTCTCAGCATGGATATTAGTTAGGGCTACTGCCTTGGGGTACCTAGTAGCGTAGTCTACCACCGTTAAAATATACTTTTTCCCGGAAGGGCTGGGTTTTGCTAGGGGTCCGATTATATCTACCGCCACCCTACTGAATGGCTCATCTATTATGGGAAGGGAATGCATTTTTGCCTTGTACCTGTCCCCTCTCTTTCCTACTCTCTGACATGTATCACAAGTTTGGCAATACTGACGGATATCTTTGGAGACCCCTGGCCAAAAGAAGTTTTGGGTCAAACGATGCTTCGTCCTACTGATGCCTAGATGTCTTGACAAAGGGATATCGTGGGCAATACGTAATAGTTCCTGCCTGTACTTTTTAGGGACAACTAATTTTGTGATGGTCATGGGTACTGATCCTGCTACCACCTTCTCTGCATACCTATACAGTAATCCTTTCTCCCAAGCATATCTCTCCCCCTCCAACCCCGCCTGATTCTGTGTAATCCTATCTCGTTATACTTGTAAGGACGGGTCGGTGGCTACCTCAGTACCAAATTCTAAGGGGGGAGCCCATGGGACGAAAGGGGGTGTGGGACTGTTGCTTACCTGAGCCTCAGAGTGTTCGGAGGATGCGGTGGTGCGAGCCTGCTGCCGGGTTACAACGGGTAGTGCTTCCTGCGCTGGGTGTTGAGAAACAAAAGCTGAGGTCAGCTCCCCCAAGTCGTTACCCAAGATGACATCGGCCGGTAAATCCTGCATGAGGCCCAATTCCACGTTCCCTGACCCCGCTCCCCAATCCAAATGTACCCTGGCAGTGGGAATTTTGTAAATGGCTCCCCCTGCCACACGGACTGCCACGTATTCTCCAGTGAGCTGGTTCTTTGGGACCAAGTGGTTACGAACCAAAGTTATGGTGGCCCCAGAGTCGCGCAGACCCTGGAGGCGTTTTCCCTCTACGTTTACCCCTTGTCGATGTCCTTGTCGGTTGTCTGAAGCTGCCTGTACTGGGTTGACTTCGTGTAGGGTACCCAGAGGTTCCTCAGTGGATCCAGTCGAGAAGGGTGGTTGTCAGGACTCACTCTGGTAGCAGTGTACGGCTGCCCGGTTAGCAGAGAAATTGGTTGGACTATTCCAGACTTTCATAAGGGGTTCTTGTTCCTGGGACAATCTCGCTGCATGTGGCCCTGTTGGTTGCACATGTGGCACCGGATAAAGGACCTGTTATTTCTATACCTGGGTGCGGGTTGGTAGTTCCCACCACCGGGACGAAGTGTTTGGGTGGTGGTAGTGTGGTTGGGTGGCAACCCCACGGGTGGGCCGTGACTGTGCCTGCTGCGCCCTTCTGGCATCTTGATACTCGTCCGCCAATCTGGCTGCGTCGGTTAGGGTGCGTGGTTTCCGATCTCTCAGCCAGTTTTGTAAGTCCGGGGTTAACCCCTGAAAAATTGTTCCAGTAAAAGCAATTGCAGCATATCCTCTACTGTCGTTGCTTGTGCCGCTTGGACCCATCCCTTGCCGGCCCTGGTTAAGCAGTGTGCCCACTCCATGTGGGAGTCTCTATCTGTTTTTCGACTTTCTCTGAACCACTGCCGGTATGCCTCTGGGGTTTTGGCATACCTAATTAGAATGGCCTGCTTCACTTTCTGGTAGTCCCTGCTGTCCTTGTCTGGCATCGTGCGGTAGGCTTCAGCTGCCCGGCCGGCTAGTTTGCCCACCAGCAGGGGTACCTGGTCAGTAGTGCTAATATCATGCAATTGGCATAGTCTCTCGAAGTCATGCAAGTAGCCATCGATGTCCTCCGTTTCCACATAGTTTTTAAAAGCATGGTAAGGAATTTTAGGCGTCCCTGGTATTATGCGGGGTGGGGTTGGGACCCCTCTCTGGACCTCTGGTCTGCTTGCTGCTTTGCCATTAAATATTCATGGACATCTGCCATTATTCTCTCCACTGTTTCTATGGGGGGTGTTCCTGGGAAAAACGCCAGCCTGCTTTTGAGTTCTCTTTCAAACTCCGTCTGTGCGATTTCCATAGGAGGTGCTGCAGCAGCTGCTCTCCCTCCCTCCATGAGTTCGGCAATAAGGATGGCTTTGGCTTTATTGCTGGCAATAATTCCCTTGCTTCCAATAGTTCTTTTAGTGTAGCCCGTTTCAAGCGTGTATAATCTGTCCCCATTCACTGTCCGTTCGGGTATATTCACATACCCTCTCCCTTCGGTTCCATATGAATAAGGATTTCCACGAATGGCTCAATCTGCCGAACAACGGTCTGCTGTGTGGTTTGAATCCCGTCGCTTGCCACCAATTGTAGAGGAGTAGCAGGGGTTAATCCAATAGCTCTCTGCTGGGAAGAAAGATTCAGCATACAAAATCACAGGAACACAGCATAATCCACCTCCCCAAGGACTAGACGACACATAGTCTGGGAGTCAACTGAGGTCTTTATTCACAGGTCTGCTTTTATGCATTTTTCCCATGCAAGGGAGGTAACTTTCATAATTACTACAGTAACCAATCACACAGTGGTCACCTCCTCTACATCCCCTCCCCTTAGATTAACAGTTAACATCATTAATATGCACACAGTTTTCCCCAATTTGTGGATGTCCCCTAAATACAGGGGGTACACGGTTGAATAAGGGGTCCCCTGGTAGCCCTGATCTGGATGAGCAACATCAAAATTCACCCAGATCGGACCAGGGGTTCGGGAGTTATGGCAGGCGAAAGATTTGACCGACCGCACGGGCACAGTAGCTGAAAATAGTTCCATGAATTCTGGCCCTGCGGTCGGTCTCTTCTTGTTAATCAAAAGTCCTGAAAGTCTATGGCATCCAGGCTTCATTTAGCGTTTGAATGAATCCCCTCGTTCGTGGGATTCCACATACCGAATGCTGGGGTGTTCGCATGGTTGGTTCGTGCCTTTTGAGCTGGAGGTCTTAGCAGTACTTGGTTAGTCGAAAGCCCGATTTGAGTTCCAGGCGTTCGACGACCAAGTACCGCTGTTCGTGCGGAAGATGGCCGCCGCCACGTGTTTGGTAGGCGAAATGGCTGCCGCACACGAACTCACAATCAGCACGCTTTGCAACATTGTTGCTTTTGCTAATAAGAGGCACACGACCACACCGGGGTGGTCCCTCGTAATTTAAGAGCGTTCACATAAACAATAGTGCAGTCCATTCGTGAACCGAGTCTCTGATGGTTCCTGCCTTTACACACATACGGCCATTATAATCCCAGTGTTCATTCGCATAGAAAAGTCAGTATCTTAGTGGCATGGTTTGCCACATGGGAAAAAGATTTTTAATTTACTTTTTTTTTTTTACAGCTCTGGGAATCACTTAGTGCAGCCATTCACCTCATTCAGGAGTAGTGATGTCCCGAACGGTTCGCCACGAACGGCGAACATAAACATAAACTTTGACCCTGTACCTCACAGTCAGCAGACACATTCCGGCCAATCAGCAGCAGACCCTCCCTCCCAGACCCTCCCACCTCCTGGACAGCTCACTAAGAATGCAGCTTCACAATGAATGTAAAATGGATGCTGTCCAGGAGGTGGGAGGGTCTGGGAGTGAGGGTCTGCTGCTGATTGGCCGGAATGTGTCTGCTGACTCTGAGGTACAGGGTCAAAGTTTATGTTTATGTTCACCGTTTGGCGAACCGTTCGGCGAACCGTTCGGGACATCACTATTCAGGAGGCATTGCTTCTCCATCTTCTTGTCGAAACCAGTACTTCTCATAGAGAAACATTGATGGTGAGGAACAGTGGCACTCCTCCAATTGGATACTCTCTTTGAGAAGCATTAAGAGGAGGTTACGTGTGAGAACTGTGTTTGACTCAATTCTTCCAGTGGAAGCACCTCTAATGACTGTCAGGAAGGCAGCAACTAGAGGTGTATGTGGCCCTGCAATGAAAAGATTGCTGTATCTATTAGATAGCAGTATTTCAAATTGCAGGGCTAAAATGACAGGGGTGCTGCATCCAGACAATTTCATGAGATTAAGTGGTCTGCATGCCCATAGTGTCCCTTTATTTCCTAAGCTTCAAAAGATTTATAAAACAAAACAAACCTTAGAGTGTGTATTTCTTTTATGCATTATTTTACACATAACTGTTATGATATGCACATAACTGTTATGATATGCACAATCATTTATTAACAGTGGGGACACGTTTTTGTTTTCTTTTGCACTTGTATCTAAATGTGCTATTTAGGTGACCAGCCCCCATGTCAGCAAGGTAAAAGATTAGTTTATCCACCTTTATTCCAGTGCTGTGTGGGTCTTCTCGCAGCTGGCTCCACTCTCGGCTAAGATCTTCAAACTTGATGATCTCTGTCAATTTAATGATTTCCTATAGGAAAGCATTGGGAGGCTATCACGCAATTGCGCCAAAACGCTGCACTGCGTCAGTCAGTATCACCTCATTGACGTGCATTACATCTCTATAAGGACTGTTAAGTGCCTTCATGCAAAACGTGGACATATTGTGCAGCACTGACGAAAAAGCACGTTGAGTGGCTGTATGAGTGACTGCCACTAGAGGTGTCAATAGGCAGTAATATAAGCACTGCCTTTTCTTTTAAAGACAGTGTTTACATGAAATTGCCTGCAGGGACAGGCTATAGACATCAGGACAACTACATTAAGCTATTGGTGTTCTGGTGACTGTAGTGTCCCTTTAAAGACTATTACTCAAACCATAATGGTTTTGTACAGGCAAAAATATTTTGCTAGTAATGTTGCTGGGAATGTTTTATTTTTCAGGCGGAGTACTTTAATATGTTTATGGTATACTTTGGTTTTATACAACTTTTTTAAATCTAATGTAGTTTTTACCTTATAAGAAGGATTTTTAAAAAAAGATTGCTATAGATTTCTTTTGCCCGTTTAAAAAATCTGGCCTTGTCTTTTGAATGTTTTGCCCACTATGGTCAGTCCACCTGTCATCACAATTTCCAGCATGACTGTAGAGCACCAGAACATCAAATAATTCTCCCTACCTGGCCAACTGCAGAACAAGAGACTCAGGGCAGTCAGTGGAACAGTGGCAAAATCACACCTGGGGCTTTTTCGGGAACCTAAGTGGGATCTAGCCTGGGTAGGCCCCTCTAACAATACCACTGTCTCAATATCAAATAACTGTACTTGCAACATTTTATTGCAAAGCATAATTAAAAAAAGGAAATGTTTACACATTCAGAAATGATTTTGATTCGGGGCGTGTCTTGGCCACCATCTTGAATGGCCACCTTCTAGAGAGGCTCCTGGGCCAAGGGGACAATAATGTTCCACAATTGATACTTTCAGCTTCAAAATTCTGAAATTGAGCATTGCTGCAACTCTAATTTCATTCCTGGTGAGGTGTCTTGGAATGCGCACAAGGCTGTATTGTGAGGTCATTTTATTTCTAGAGTGTCTCACCTGAAGAGAATGAATAATAACAATCTTAGAACAATGGAAAAAGAGCTATACAATCTGAATCAGGCAAACAAATTAAGCCCATCGACTTCCCTATCAGCAATGATAGGAGATATCAAGTAAAAAATACAGAAAATGTATTTAGAACGCACATCTCTCATGGCGGGACGCCTTTAGAAAACATTTTATTTAAAAGGCAACAGGTCCTCAACTCTTCTGGCCTCTACACTCCGACATGCGAAGGCCCAGTCAAAAATAGCATATTTATGAAACGACCAGGGACAAAAAATATTTAATTTAACCAAAATTAGTGATCTATTTATGGAATATTACAGCAAACTTTATAATCTAAAATTAGATTCAGAACTTTCCCCACCTTCTGAAGTGACAATTAATAAATTTAGATAAAGTGTCGTTGCCTTGGTTGTCTCCACATAATTCAAAAAGCTTAGAGTGTGATATATCAACTGAAGAGATAGCTGAGGCAATCAAACTTAAGCCATTTGGAAAGGCCCCTGGTCCTGATTGGTTCACCATTTTATATTATAAAACCTTTTCAGAAATCTTAATTCCCCATAAGACAAAATTGTTCAACTCCTATAAGTCCGGGGTGAAGATGCCTGAGGAGTCCTTGTGCACAGAAATAGTCACCTTGCCAAAGCCGTGGAAAACTCCTGATAGGTGTCCTAATTTTAGGCCCATTTCTCTGATAAATAATGACTCGAAAATTTACTCTAAAGTTCTAGCAAACAGGTTAGCTATATTAATCCCCTTATTAATTAATAATGATCAAGTGGGTTTTGTACAGGGAAGACAGGCATGTGATGGAACTAGGAGATTTATTAATTTGATTCAGCACATTAATTTAACCAAAATGCCTTCTTTGCTTCTTTCATTGGATGCAGAGAAGGCGTTCAACAGAATACACTGGGGCTACTTATGGATAACATTAAGCAGATTTATTATCCCATTATCCTTTGTAATAAAAGGTGCTATACAGTGCCCCTAGAGCCCATGTCTCAGCTTCTGATTTTAAATCTCAAACTTTTTCTCTCACTAATGGGACGAGGCAGGGTTGCCCTTTATCTCCAATATTATTTGTATTAGCTATGGAACCCTTGGCTGAATTGATTAGAATGACCCTAGAAATTGAAGGAATAAACATTAAAAGATCTGCTCACAAAATTGGCTTAATCTTGGCACTTAAAAATCCAAAAAAATCCTTAAAATACCTTAAAGATATTTCACTTCGGTTCAGAGAAGTATCATACTATAAATTAAACAAGTCCAAAACTCAGGCCCTCCCATTCCACATAAATCATTCAGAAATAACCACCCTTAAGAGAATTCCATTTTTCGATTGGCGAAATTAATATCTAGAATACCTAGGCATTAATTTGTGCAAAAAAGTAGTATATGCAGATTTATAATTTGAGGAAAGCATTGCTGGACCTACAAATAGAGATGGAGAGATGCTGTGGGATGGAATTCTCATGGCTGGGAAGCATCACATCTATTAAAATGACAATTCTTCCAAAAATCTTGAATATTTTTAGGACCATACCTCTATCTATTCCATTATCTTTTTTTCAATAAAATGCATTCAGTAATGTTAAAATGTATTTGGAGGAACAAACCTGGCAGGATAAAACATACTTCCCTGGAGCACCACAAATCTAATGGCGGTATCGGTGTACTGGATATCCGCAAATATTATTTTGCCACTAATTCTGCAGCGGTCATGAGTTTTAATATTCAATTTAATAAACCAAGATGGATGGAAATAGAAGAGTCAAAAATTCTCCCATTTAGACTTAACGGGATTACCTTGGTTGTGTCCTAAAAAAAGGCCTGGAGTAACTAAATTATTTTCATCAACAAAAACCACTCTTAAGGCCTGGGATATCGTTTTTAAAAATAATAACCACACTGTGAGAGTGTATAGACCGATGCCAATGGAATTGTTGAAAGATCATATACCTTTTTTGAATCTAGATTAATTGAAAGAATACGCTATAACAAACATAGCTTTTTTCATGGGATGCCATCCTTTCATTTGAAAAATTAAAACTTATGGATTGACGAATGATTGTATGTTGATCATTGGAAAATTGAAAGAATTATATAACGTACCGGAAACTGACAAAAATTATAAATCACTAGCGATAACACCACTAGAAAAAATATTCTTATATGATCCAAACAGAAAGTGCGTAATATCTATGTGTTATTCACTATACAAAACCAAACCCATAGTTAAATTGAAACATATGGTATCCTGGGAGCTGGGTACACAATATGAGCTTGAGGAATGGTTCAGTTTTTCTAAGGCATTAAAAGGAATTTCTCGTTGCACTGACCATTTCGAAAAACACTACAAAATTTTGTATCGATGGTACCTGACTCCGTCTAGATTGCACAATATGAATAACATTTATTCTGACCAGTGTTGGAGGGACTGTGGGGGTTTGGGAAATATGTCTCATGTATAGTGGTGTTGTCCCAAAATAGCAAGATACTGGTAAATGATTCACAATTTTATTGTTAAAGTGGATAGAACTATTGGTATTTTAACTTCAGAGCTTGCATTATTCAAAAAATCCCCTGAGTCCGTTAATAGAACTGATAGAATAATAATAGGCCACATCCTAATTGCTGCTACTTCATGCTTACAGAGGTATTGGAAGTCTGCAAACACACCATCACTTAGAGAAGTTCTGAACTTGATACTAGATAACAAAGCACACAAACTATCACATAGGAGCAATACGTATTCTTTTGCAAAACTAAAATATATTTGGGATAAATGGGAAGAAGAAATGTAAAACGTCTATAGTTTATATTAAAAAATTAAACATAAACAATACTACCGAGCAGAGAATAAAAAATATAAACTCTGACCAGGAGGTCACATATTACATCAATGTAACAATTTGAGTTTGCTACACTCATATTGTTACAGATCAATCTAGCAGTTACTGATAGCCGAGACTAGTTTGTATATCTCTTCCCTTTTTTGGTATTTGGATTGGGATTTTGCACTTTGTGTATAGAGTTTGTGAGGTAGTGGTGTTTACAATAAAGATTATTTTATATATATATATATATATTACATTGTGTTATTAGTGGGAGGATTTCTCCCGTTTATATGCGGGAGTTATTCCTCCTACTATTTCTCCTTTTTTTTTTTATATTAAAAAATTATTTATTGTTTAATTATATTATTGTACAATTTTTGTCATATACATTATTGTTTGTTATTACAATGGATGGATACCCCTTCCCACATCCTCTCCTACCCCTAATATAATGTTTGTGTAATTTGTTGTAAATTTTATAAAACTTTAATAAAAATTATTTTAATAGATTTAATGCATTTTTTTAAAAAATTATTTCTAGCCAAACGTCTTGAAACATATAAAGAAGAGGATTCTGATGATGAGGACTCAATAAGAATGCAGAACTTTGCATTGTATAATATCAATGAAGGAAACCAGTCCACAGTGAAACACAAAGGAACAAAAGCTTTAAGGCGATGCCATAGTGCACGACCAAATATTCAAGGACACTTTCGCAAAAAATCTGAAGGACGTTTTGATCTTTCTCAAGTGGCATTCAGCAGTCCAATTGTAAGTCTTTATATGAAATATAGCACATTACATTCTAAACTATATAAGATGTTCCCATATATTTGAAACTAGAAATTTAGAAGACAGGGGATGTAGCAAGTATGGTTTTGTGAGTGTGTGCGTGCCTGTAAAAATATCTATGATGTTGTGCTATCTTATCTATCTTTTTTAAAGAAAAAAAGAACATTTAAAATAGAAAAGAATGTGTAAAGGGAAAGTAAACTGACAATTGATGGCACACTCACCTGTTTGAGCTCCTGGGCAAAGATTTGCCACACCACCAGTGAAGTCAAAGGGGGAAATCATCCACTTTTACTGAAATATAAAAGAAAAAAAAGAAAAAAGATAGGTATTTAAATAAAAAAGAAAGGAGATAAGATTAAGAGAATGAGTAAGTTGGCAACTGATGAACCATTAACCTGTTTCAACCTTGGATGAAGCCTTTTCACACCTTTATCCCTTAGCCAGCAGTGGATATCAAGCGTGCAAAAGGAGTGCAGGCATTGCCACACGGCGGATGCAGCCAGAGGGAAATCTTCCACTTTTTCAGAGATTGAAAGGAAAAAAACAAAGAAAAAGACTGGTATTTAAATAGCTAAAAGGGTAGGAGATTTGATGAGCAGCATTAATGAGTGAGCTTGTGTTTCACCTCTAAGAAAAAGCATTTGTATACCTTCAGTTCTTATTGTGAAGTGGACATACAGTGTGCAAAAACAATGCCTTAATCAAATTACCAGAAGCACTGGCAGAAGGTAGCAGTAGTTGGTACATCATCATTGCAGTCAGGGGTGGGGCATGGTGTCAAACCCTCTCCCTCTCTCTACCAACAACAAACAGATCACTTCTACACCACTCTTAGGGTACAGGGTCTGTAACAATTAAGCTGCCATGGACTTATGCAGTTAACACATCTTGCTTTCCTTTGTATTTTTGTACATTCACTGCAGAGAACAATTAATGCAATTAATGTTGAAGTTTAAGAAAGTATGTGTTTTTAATGTGTGTGCATTGTATATATAAAATACAGTTTTTCTTAGAGGTGTATACCACAGAAGGCAAAATCAACCAATTATAGACGTTCAGTGCAAAAAGTATAATTTAACATTATGTATGCTGTTAATACAAAGGACATTTGTTTACATTGGAGTCTTATCTCCAAGGTTAACACAAAATAAACATTTCAGAAGCAGTTGCAAAAACTGCAGACATAAATATGATTTAAAAATGTAGCTTTTAACCCCTGCAGACGTGGAAGGACCTAACTAGGGCAAAGGCTTATTAACCCTTTATTTACCTGTATATATGACAAGTCCCCTTTTCTGGTCCCACAGGTGAAAGTGTTAGCCGAGGTATATCCAGATGTACTAATTACACCTGTGGGCCTTTAACTATTTCTTCACCTCTATTCCCTTTGGCTTCTTTCACCCACAAAAACCATCCATGGGGGGCCTGTCCAAATATATATATATATACAGGATAATATGTTATTAAATCCATGTCTCATTATGCATATATATTTATTTCTATAGCTCTGTATGTCTAGGGGAAAATTTGCTAAGCATTGCATAGGTAAAACAATTTATTCTCCATCAACCACCCACCAGCAACATAGAAACATCAGAGGACTGCAAACAGTGCCTGACAACATTATCCAATGAATTCAGACTTAAACCACAAAATATGTTTTCCTACTCGTAGTTCAAAGTTCCACCTTTAAAACACACCCAATACGGTACACAATGAAATGGCATTTCTCATTTTAGGCAAACAAGTGTGAGTATGCTAATACCCAAATAAAGCTGATGTGCAAAAGAAAATCTAATAGGTGGCACCAGACACTAATACAACATCAATTAAATTACCAATCAATATGCATATGGATTCCACTTGCTATTTCCACTTCGATGAGAGTATTCTCATGGGAAAAAACAAACTATTCATATAACTCAACACTTTTCATCCTTCTATCTCTGGACATCCATAGGACCTGTTTTCTATCTAAATGCTTTATCTTCCTGTGCCTGCATGGTCCTGATTGTCTTGGCCCTGACTCCAAATGACATCACACATTGTGATGCCCGGGGTTGTTGCCCTCTCCAGCATGAACTGCAGAACAACTTTATTGATTCTATACAAATCAACGCTCAAATCCATCAAAAGTCTTTATGTTTGAGACTTATGGCCATGCCACAATAGACCGCAAATCTTTATTGCCAACTAAAGTTAATATTAGTATACTTTATCACAAACTCAGGAGTGGAAACCAAGCAAAGGTCCGAAATATACTAAATGTATGTAATTGTTAGTCTGTGACAGCAACCAATGTAGCAAGTTGCCATGATATAGAATTACATGGAATAATACATCCAATTTTATAAAAATATACATCAATAAGACAATAAATAAAATGTATGAAAAATGATCTTTTAAAGCTATGAAAATATCATGAATATGAGATCTGAAAAGACAGAAACATAGTATTAGCAAAACACAAACAATGCTAACAATACATAAAAAATGGAAGCATAAAAAAAGAAAGGAAAATTGGAGAATATCTATATTATGCATTAAAAGTATCAATCCATAAAGGCTAAAATAACCAAGTCTGTGTTTTAAAGGATCACTATAGGGTCAGGAACACAAACATGTTAACACCACCATCTAGCCCCCCTGTGTCCCTCATGCCTCCATAAATATAGCGAAATCTTACTGTATTCAAGCCAGAACTCTGCATGCTGTTTACCTCAAAAAACAAACAAACAGGCAGTCTGCTGACATCATCAGAAGTGGTGGCCTGATCAAATCATAGTGCTTCTCCATAGGATTGGCTGACAAAGAGGCAGATCAGGGGCAGAGCCAGCATGATTCAAACACAGCCCTGGCCAATCAGCATCTCCTCACAGAGATGAAATTAATCAATGAATCTCTATGAGGAAAGTTCAGTGTCTGCATGCAGAGGGAGGAGATACTGAATGTTTGGATGCATTTTAGGCAGCTATTACCCAGGAAGGATCTCTAACAGCTATCTGAGGAGTGGCTAGTGAAGCTATCAGTAGGCTGTAATGTAAACACTGCATTTTCTCTGAGCCTTCTTAGCCAAGGTTTTTTCGATGTCTCCTCCTCTTCAATGTAGAATTACTCTATCCCAATCCAGATAAAATAGTTAAAATTAAACTCTTTGCAAGGGTCTAGGCACACTGTGTTTGTTTCTATTTATAACACTGAAATGTTCCATTAATCTGTCACACAATCTCCTTTAGTCTTACCAATACTAGTATGTACTACTACTACTGTATGCTGCATTTACATTGTAGTAAATAAACAACATTTTTGCTAGGTGTGTTAATGAAATGGTTAATCTTAAAAGTTTCCCCTTTATCAAAACATTTAGTTTTTTTTCTTTAGGAATCCTTATCCACCCTAGACTTGTCTGATTTAGCAGTTGGTAATTAGCTTGGTACTAAAATCATTTTTAAAATTTCAGTTTTCTTATACTTTTTTTCTAGGTTTTTCAGGTAAATCTTATCCCATTTTAAAATAGGTCAATGTTTATTTATAGGCCGTTTAACCCCTTAACGCCGCTACGACGTTCTATGCCGTCCCCATTTAAATGGGCTTTAAAGCCGTTGCGGCGGTATAGATCGCCGTAACGGCTTGCAGCCCCAGGAGCCTCCAACTATTCACCTCCGCCGCGATCCTCTTCGGGAGGACTGCCTGACAGCCCAGGCAGCTCTCCCCTGGCAAATCAGGCCCCCTGGGGCCATTTGATCACTCTAAAATAAAATAAATAAATAAACATGTTTTAAAATAAAATAAATGTGTGTATATATATATATATATATATATATATATATATTTTAATGTTAATATAAGTATATATATATTAGTATTAAAATACACTTAGAATTATGTTACATATATATAAGATATATATATTATATATATAATACATCTATATATATATTATATTTATATATACACGTTTAATTACAATAATAAATAAAATAAATAAAATATTTAAAAAAAAATTAAAACAAATTGTATATACATATGTAATTACATTCTAATTGTATTTTGTTATTAATATATATATATTGGTAACAAAATACACTTAGAATGACATTCTATACAGGGAGTGCAGAATTATTAGGCAAATGAGTATTTTGACCACATCATCCTCTTTATGCATGTTGTCTTACTCCAAGCTGTATAGGCTCGAAAGCCTACTACCAATTAAGCATATTAGGTGATGTGCATCTCTGTAATGAGAAGGGGTGTGGTCTAATGACATCAACACCCTATATCAGGTGTGCATAATTATTAGGCAATTTCCTTTCCTTTGGCAAAATGGGTCAAAAGAAGGACTTGACAGGCTCAGAAAAGTCAAAAATAGTGAGATATCTTGCAGAGGGATGCAGCACTCTTAAAATTGCAAAGCTTCTGAAGCGTGATCATCGAACAATCAAGCGTTTCATTCAAAATAGTCAACAGGGTCGCAAGAAGCGTGTGGAAAAACCAAGGCGCAAAATAACTGCCCATGAACTGAGAAAAGTCAAGCGTGCAGCTGCCACGATGCCACTTGCCACCAGTTTGGCCATATTTCAGAGCTGCAACATCACTGGAGTGCCCAAAAGCACAAGGTGTGCAATACTCAGAGACATGGCCAAGGTAAGAAAGGCTGAAAGACGACCACCACTGAACAAGACACACAAGCTGAAACGTCAAGACTGGGCCAAGAAATATCTCAAGACTGATTTTTCTAAGGTTTTATGGACTGATGAAATGAGAGTGAGTCTTGATGGGCCAGATGGATGGGCCCGTGGCTGGATTGGTAAAGGGCAGAGAGCTCCAGTCCGACTCAGGCGCCAGCAAGGTGGAGGTGGAGTACTGGTTTGGGCTGGTATCATCAAAGATGAGCTTGTGGGGCCTTTTCGGGTTGAGGATGGAGTCAAGCTCAACTCCCAGTCCTACTGCCAGTTCCTGGAAGACACCTTCTTCAAGCAGTGGTACAGGAAGAAGTCTGCATCCTTCAAGAAAAACATGATTTTCATGCAGGACAATGCTCCATCACACGCGTCCAAGTACTCCACAGCGTGGCTGGCAAGAAAGGGTATAAAAGAAGAAAATCTAATGACATGGCCTCCTTGTTCACCTGATCTGAACCCCATTGAGAACCTGTGGTCCATCATCAAATGTGAGATTTACAAGGAGGGAAAACAGTACACCTCTCTGAACAGTGTCTGGGAGGCTGTGGTTGCTGCTGCACGCAATGTTGATGGTGAACAGATCAAAACACTGACAGAATCCATGGATGGCAGGCTTTTGAGTGTCCTTGCAAAGAAAGGTGGCTATATTGGTCACTGATTTGTTTTTGTTTTGTTTTTGAATGTCAGAAATGTATATTTGTGAATGTTGAGATGTTATATTGGTTTCACTGGTAATAATAAATAATTGAAATGGGTATATATTTGCTTTTTGTTAAGTTGCCTAATAATTATGCACAGTAATAGTCACCTGCACACACAGATTTCCCCCTAACATAGCTAAAACTAAAAACAAACTATTAATGAGTTTTTTGGGTTCATTGAGAACATGGTTGTTGTTCAATAATAAAATTAATCCTCAAAAATACAACTTGCCTAATAATTCTGCACTCCCTGTATATATCTATCTATATATAAAATACAAATAACCGCAAATATATATATATACACATAAATATATATAATTACATAAATAACTACATATGTGTACACGTAGACTTTAAATACATATATGTATATATATATTAAAATTCTACGTGTATATTTAAGTAATCTTTTAGCATAATTATATGATTTAATTAATTAAAATTTGATTGAAATGCCTGACAACCCATGCAGAAAGTGCAGAGAATTTGAATTGCAAGCACTCTATTTAACCCTGTAACTTTCCAAGACACTATAAAACCTGTACATGGTGGGTACTGTTTTACTCAGTAGACTCCGCTGAACACAAATATTAGTGTTTTAAAACAGTAAAATGTATTACAATGACGATATTGTCAGTGAAAGTGACATTTTTTGCATTTCTCACACACATGGCACTTACACGGACGATATAATTGTTGTGATACATTTTACTGTTTTGAAACACTAACATTTGTGTTCAGCAAAGTCTCCCGAGTATAACAGTACCCCTCATGTACAGGTTTTATGGTGTTTTCAAAAGTTACAGAGTCAGATATAAGGCTTGTGTTTCATTTTTTTCACATTGAAATTCGCCAGGTTGGTTATGTTGCCTTTGAGACCATACGGTAGCCCAGGAATGAAAATTACCCCCATGATGGCATACCATTTGCAATAGTAGACAACCCAAGGTATTTCAAATGGGGTATGTTCAGTCTTTTTTAGTAGCCACTTAGTCACAAACACTGGCCAAAATTGGCATTCAAATTAGTTTTTTGCATTTTTCACACACAAACAAATATTAACACTAACTTTAGCCAGTGTTTATGACTAAGTGGCTACTAAAAAAGACTGGACATACCATTTGCAATACCTTGGGCTGTCTACTTTTGCAAATGGTATGTCATCATGGGGGTAATTCTTATTCCTGGGCTACCATCCGGCCTCAAAGGCAACGGAACCAATCTGGGGGTACTGTAGGGGGTACTGTTTTACATGTGAGACCTCGCTGAATACAAATATGTGTATTTTTTTTCAAACTGACAATTTTTATTTTCAGAAGTCAAATGGGGTACAGAAAGAAAAAAGGGGTTGGAGGGATCACATTTTCACATAACTTGCAATTTTGTCTTATTAGTTAGTGGGTTATGTCTCATGCGGTGTTGCTTCGGCATCCAAACGGTAGGGATTAGGAGGATGATGTTAGGAACCTGTCAGGTCGCTCTGTTCGTAGACTATTGTATTGATTACAAATATCTTCGTGAGGTTCTACGTATCCCCCCAAAGCCCCCGTTCTGCCTCCTGCACTGGTTAATCGCTAACCCCTCTTTTTCATGTGGGTTATGTTGCAAATTCCGATATTGAGATCCTTCAACTGGGAGATAACAAGGGAAAAGGTGTAGGGAAAAAAGGAGGGGAGAGGTGCATATTGTATTATGATGTGGCGCTCGGCTTCCTGTTGTAATGGTGAGTATTAAAGATTGTGTAGTAGCGGTGCGGCTTTCTGGGGTCTATGCCTTCACCGCGATTATATCCGCCTCAGTCCATTGCGGGGCCAGTGCGGGGGGTGTGGTTTCTAGAGCTCGTCGGGTTTGTCGTAAGAGTTCGGTCAGTGTGGGGTGGGGTGTCTGTACCCGGAACTGTTCCGTCTCTTAGGTCTACCCAGGGTGCCCAATCTGTTTGGAAGTTTTTCCTTTGAGCAACAGTCTTGGCAGACAAGCTTTCATATGTGTAGTATTGGTGGATTTTGTCTAGCAGTTGGGTTTGGGAGGGACAGTGGGGTTGTTTCCACTGAGTTGCTATCAGATTTCTCGCTGCTAGGATAACAATGGCCATTACACTTCGTACAGATTTTGGGGTGGAGTGTGGGTATGATAGGAATATCCCCGTATGTATATCGATGGGCGGTGATGTAATACCCATAGATAGCAAAACAGTTTGTGCCTCCCTCCATAGGGGTCTTATACGTGGACACGTCCACCATATGTGAAGCATTGTACCCTTAGCAACCCCGCATCTCCAGCAATGTGGGGATACATTGTTGTACATTGAGTGGAGTCGCTGGGGTGTTAGGTACCATCTATATACCAGCTTTTTATGGGCCTCTGTGTGAGAGTAGCACTGCGTGAGGCCTGAAAGGGCTCGGGGGGATGCCAGTATCTCAGTGTCAGCTATCGAACCTACGCCCTCCTCTAGCCATTGGGTTACATAGTTAGGGATAGCCATGGGTGTAGCCCTGAGGATTAGCTGGTAGCATAGGGAGAGTGACTTAGGTTTGGTCGGAGTTTTCCAGCACCTGTCGTATAATGATGTTATGTCCTTTAAGTCTGGGTCAATGCACGGTGGACTCTGCGTAACATGTGTGGGAAGTACACTTTTAAGTTGCAGGTATGGAAACACTGAGGAATTAGTGAGTTTGAATTCCTCTTGTAGGTCTGGGAAGGGTTTAATGAGACCTCCTTGCAGGACTTGTTCTATGTGGGTAATTCCCAGTTTGACCCATGAGTGTAGCGAGAGCCAAGGTGATATTGCTTTTAGTGCTGTTAATGGCGTGCGAGGGTGAAATTTGTGAGTATCGTAATGTTTTTGACGCAGCTTGTCCCAGTGATATATGGTTAGTTTAGTGGTCGGTAAGAGGGATTTGTCCTTGGGCCGATACGTCGCGGGGGTCCACAAGAGATCGACCAAGGGTGTCTTACCAGCGTGGGCGACTTCCATGTCCACCCATTGGTACACTCCTTTATGGGTATGCAGTTTCACTGCTGCCTCTAGAATAGCTGCTTTGTAGTAGGCGTGTACATCTGGCAAACCAACTCCCCCTCTCGCTGTACTTTGTTGTAGGGTTCGGTGTGACAGTCTGGGTCTGTGAAAGTCCCACACGTATTGGGATAGTGTCCGTTGGAGTGTTTTAAAAAAGGAGGGTGGGACTTGTATGTGTAGTAGGCGGAATATGTACAGTATCTTCGGGATTAGGACCATTTTGATGGTGTTGATTCTACCTAGCCAGGATAGTTTCACCAGTTTCCATCTGGTACATTCCGATTTGCACATCGTGAGAATTATAGTGAAATATGTGTTCCATTGTGGGCGCTATTTTAACCCCCAAGTATGTGATGTGGTCCGTTCTCCAGTCAAATCTATATGTCCTAGAAAGCTCTATGGTCGTGGCTCGCGGTAGGCCTACTGGCAGGGCTTGGGTTTTGGCTTGATTTAATTTATAGTACGACAATTTACCATATGTATCTAAAAGTCGTAATAGAGTGGGTAGAGATGTTGTTACGTCGCGTAACGTCAGTAAGATGTCGTCTGCGAACATAGATAGTTTGTATTCACATGGGCCTATTGACATGCCTTTGATATTAGGGTGGTGTCTGATGATGTATGCCAGCGGTTCTAAGCAGAGGACAAACAGTAGTGGTGAGAGGGGGCAGCCCTGCCTGGTGCCGTTGGAAATTGTAAATGGGGTAGATAAGAAACCTGCACTGCTCACTTGTGCTGAGGGGGCGTTATATAATGCCATGATTCCAGAGAGGATTGGTGGGGTAAAGCCGAATGTTTGTAGGACTTTTCGCATATAGTCCCAGTTTAGTCTGTCGAAGGCCTTCTCCGCATCTAACGCTAGGAGGAGGCCCTCGCCTTGGTTGGCTTGAGCGTGTGCTAGAATATTAAGGATTTTCCGGGTATTATCTGAGCCTTGTCTCGTTTTCACAAAGCCAGATTGGTCATTGTGTGTGAGTTTTGGGAGAATGTTGGATAGGCGATTTGCTAGTAGTTTGGCGTAGAGTTTAACATCCCCGTTTACCAAAGGAAATGGGCCTAAAGTTGGGGCATTGCGTGGGTGATTTCCCCGGCTTCGGGAGGGTGGAAATGTGAGCTCTCAGCATCTCAGGGGGTAGGGAGCCTTTTTCAAAGCAGTGATTAAATAGCATAAGTATGTGAGGTGATAGGGTAGATGCAAATGTTTGATAGTAGAGATTGGTGTAGCCATCGGGGCCGGGTGATTTGTGTTTAGGCAGTTGTGCAATCGTTTTCGTTAATTCTTCTATTGTGAATGGTGCAGATAAGGAGGCTATGTCATCCGGTGTCAGTTTGGGGAGGTTCGCTTTGGCTAAAAAATCAGTGACATTTGGTGCGTGGGGTGGTGTGGTGTCCAGGTCGTCTTTAAGGTTATAGAGCGCCCCATAGTAGGAAGCGAACGCATCCACTATGTCTTGTGGGTTCGTGAGTTTCCTTTTCGATTTATCTATTATGTAGGCTATTCTAGAGTTGGCGGTGCGCGCTTTGAGTCGCGTTGCCAGTAGTGCCCCTGCTTTATTACCTTGCTGAAAGAAGTTGTATTTGAAGCGTTTGAGCATTTGGGTCGTTTTCTTTAGTTCTATTTCCCTGAGTTGCGACTGTAGCCTTAAGAGTCGGTGTTGTGTAGTTTGCGTGGGCGTTGTCTTGTTGTTGTGTGTGAGGTTTGCTATCTCGGAGATTAATGCATTGTATTGTTTAAGTCGTTGCTTTTTGTCGTAGCTGCCCGCCCTAATTAAGTGTCCACGTATGACAGCTTTGTGTGCTTGCCATAAGGTGGTTATGTCTATGTCTGGGGTAGAATTTGTGTGGAAGTATGAAATGATATCTGCTTTCAGTTGTTCTGTGAGTGTCGGGTCTAGGAGTAGGGAGTCGTTAAGTCTCCAGGATCCCTTGCCTGAGGTAGGGAACTGTTCTGTGATGGTTAGCGTTATAGGGGCATGGTCTGACCATGTTATCAGGCCTATGTGGGTTGATATAACTTTATGTATTGTCGTAGAGGGTATAAGGAACCTATCTATCCTCGTATAGGTGTTGTGTGCTGATGAGTGAAATGTGTAGTCCCATTCCAAAGGGTGGAGGATTCTCCATGGGTCGAGGAAGTTGTTGTTTAAGATTTGGCGACAATGTGAGGCGGTGGACCTGTTAAGGTTGCGTGTGGATGTTGCAGTTAGTTTGTGTGTTGAGGTGGTGTCTAGTGTGCTGTCCAGGATGAAGTTAGTGTCACCACCGATAATGAGTTCCCCATATCTATACAGGTTTGCTAGGGCGAACACGGTGTCCAGAAATTCCGTCTGGTTCGTGTGCGGGCCGTATATGTTGAGAAACGTGTAAGGCTCATTGTTAACGAGACACTGGAGTAGGAGATATCGTCCCTGTTTGTCCCCTACTTTTTTGACTAAGGTAAATGCTACCGATTTCCCTATCAGTATGGACACTCCTCTCTTTTTTGTCTTAAAGCACGAGTGATAGTCGTGGGGGAATAGTTTGGAACTGAGTTTGGGGCGATGGCCCCATTTGAAATGCGTCTCCTGGAAGAACACGACATGTGCGTTGTGGTTTTTTGCCTCTGCTAGTGCTAGCCGTCGTTTGTGCGGTGAATTTAAACCTTTGACATTTAATGACAATATGTTGAGCGTCATTTGTGCGTGTAGTAGTGGGCAGCTGAGTGTAATTCTGTATGGAGCACTTGTTCGTCGCGTCTTAGAGGGGCATCGGTGGCATTGTGGTTGTGTTTTGACCCCTGTTGCGTAGGTGTCTTTGATTCCATATTGTTTGGGGTACAAAGATAATGCAGTGGGGTGGTGAGCTTCCCGGTTGTTAGGGAAATATCTGGTATTTGGCTGATGTACCTTGTGTGATGGGACCTATAAGGGTTAGTGGCATGCCCCAACTGGTCGGTTAGTCTCGGATGTGGTGTGTGGCGTATTATGCACCTAAGTTGATACCCCATCGGGGTAAGGGGCTTGGGAAGTAGGGGCGGGTGCCAGGAAAGAGTCTCGTGGTAGGATAACAGGGTAACGAAAACTATATACAAGAAACCGTCAAAGCAAGAGCCATGTGGCTGGGACGGTGTAAACATGGCTCCTTTGAGCCTGAGGGGGGGGGGAAGTTGTGGCAAACCACGCCGTGGTCGACCCTCGGGGTTGTCAAAGATCTATGTCTGTCGTTAGGCCTCGTTTTCCTTGGCTCTGGTCTCTGCGCAGGTGGCCTGGCGTAGTATCGATGTCTAGTCGTGGGGGAAGTTAGGTGTTATGGCAGTCTTGCCAAGTCAGTTGGTCCATGTACCTTTTAGTACGGGGAGGTGAGTGGGGCTGTCCGGAAGTGCGTGATGTAGCCCATGCCCCTCTCTGTGGCATCGCTGCGGCGGGGGGGCCCAATACTTGGGGCCCCGCCATCGCCACGAGGCCCAAGAGTTAAGGTTACCCCCCCAACCTCCCCTTCGACTTCCCATGGCCCCCTACCGCCCAAAGAGGGACCGCGTACCTGAGAGAGAAAATAAAAATAGGTAAATAAATAAATAGATACATAAAGGGAAAAAAAAGGATAAAAGACTTGTGCGGTAAACATTTGGTAGCCCTCAGGTGCGGCAGAGAGACCGGGCAGAATAAAAATTTTGAGATTAAAAACTAAAAGTGAAGAGCCGAGAGAAAAGGGCATGTGGGAGTTGTATATGAGAGGCGAGTAAAATGGAGTGGATAGAGTCTGCATGTGGGGACAGTAGTGGGTCGGTCCCTTAGTATTGAGGGAACATACAGTCCCGCAGTGGGGGGATTTAGGAGACCTTGTTTATGGTTACTCCATCAGTTATTTGACATTCCTCTCGGTGCAGGGAAACGCATAGGGCCGCCTGTAGGTGCGCGTTGTGTACCGCGCCTCTTTCCCTTTACATCGCAGCGATGAGGGGGCCCAGTGCACGGGGCCCCGTCACCGCCACGAGGTCCATAAAGCAGGCTCTTCTGCCATCCGTTTTTCCCCCATCCTCCCATCTAGAGAAAACCTGGTATGGTAAATGTTTGGTGGCCTCCGAGCATAGTAGGAAAATGGAGGAGAATATAACTACAAGTCAGAGACTGCAAGAAAAGGTATAAGAGCTCAACATAACGGCAAACAATTGGAAGTATGCGGGTAAAGTCTTCACATGGGGAGAGTGTCGGGCTAATGTGCCCTAGTGTTAAGGGGATAGGCAGCATGTGCGGCTGTGGGAGAGTCACTTAGCTGAGGCTGCTGAGTTCCATTCAGTCGGCACTTTCCATGGGGGTCGCCGGCGTTCGAGTGGGGCATCTCGGTCAGGTTGTGGGGGAATGGGAATGTTCCATTCTGTAAGGAGTTTCTTCCCCTCTTCCACAGTAGTGATATGGCGATCCACTCCATTGCGCCGGATAATTAAACGGGCTGGGAATCCCCATCGGTATAAGATGTTCGCCCCCCGCAGGGTTCTGGTGATGACAGCAAGGTCTCTCCTCTTTGACAGCGTGGATGCGGAGAGGTCTGTGAAGAGCTGGACATTCGCAAATTTCACCGGTAAGTCTTGGGTGTGCCTAGAGGCTTTCATTATGCAGTCTTTCGTAGTGAAGTAATGGAGTTTGGCAATCGTGTCTCTCGGAATCGCTGCGGGTAGAGATTTCGGCTTTGGCAGCCTATGGATGCGGTCAATGAGGAAGTCTTGTGGGGTGAGGTTTGGGACTAAGTGCTGGAATAGACTCCTGGCATAGGCCTGGAGGTCCTGGGGCAAAACCTCCTCTGGAATACCACGGAGGCGGATATTGCTGCGCCTATCTCGGTCTTCGTGATCCGCTACCTTCGCTGTCAGGCGGTCCAGTTGGTCCCTCATTTCAGTGTAGGCGTCAGCCAGAGTATTATGTGCTGAGATTATTTCATCAGATTTGTCTTCCAGGCGGGAGGTCCTGTCCCCCAATGCCTGGATGTCTGAAATATGTGTATTTTATTGCAGTAAAAGCAAACCGTATTATAACACAGTTAAAATGTCATGTAGAACTAAAAAAAATAAAAAAAAAATAAAAAAATGTTTTCCCATTTTTTTATTTTGCTCATATTAAATTATGTTTCATACCTAAATATTTGATGTTAAATGAAAGCCCTGTTTCCCCTGAATAAAATTATATATAATAAGTGTGGGTGCACATAATATGAAAGAGGCGAATTACTCCTGAACAGACATATAGCGCAAATTCAAGTGTTTGTTTACGTTTTGTTTTGATCACAACGTGTACATTTGGCTCAGTCCTTAAGGGGTTAAAAGTCCTATGTCAAAGATACCATCACATCTTCCATTTTCCGTCTTTTTATATTTTAATAGTTCTTTCCTTTTTAAATTCTCAATTTAATTTTTTGTTTCAGTTACATAGTTACATAGTTACATAGCTGAAGTGAGACTTGCGTCCATCAAGTTCAGCCTTCCTCACATCTGTTTTTGCTGTTGATCCAAAAGAAGGCAAAAAACCCAGTCTGAAGTACTTCCAATTTTGCGAAAAAACTAGGAAAAAAATCCTTCTTGACCCCAACATGGCAGTCAGATATCTCCTTAGATCATGCCGCTATATACCCCAATAATTAGAAATTATATCCCTGTATGTTATGTGTGGTGGCCACTCCGGGGCGGACTGGCCTACCGGGATACCGGGAAATTTCCCGGTGGGCCATCGGCACCTGGGTCTGCTGGCGGCCGCAGGGGGAGGTTTGCTGGTGGCCGCTGGGGGAGGTCTGCTGGCGGCCGCTGGGGGAACTGTTCTGTCTCTGCTCCCCAGTGTGCAGCTTAATTACGACATATTCTGGCCCCGATCTCATTAAGCTGCACACGAGGGCGGGGGAGCAAAGACAGAACAGCTCCCCCAGCGGCCGCCAGCAGACCTCCCCCAGCGGCCGCCAGCAGACCTCCCCCAGCGGCCGCCAGCAGACCTCCCCCTGCGGCCGCCAGCAGACCTCCCTCTGCAGCCATCAGACCTCCTCAGCGGCTGCCAGCGGCTGCCAGCGGCTATGCAGCCATCAGAGCTCTAGCACACCCAGCCAGTCACCCACAGGTAATATGTGTCATTCTGTCAGTGTGAGTGTATGTGTGCGTGTCTGTGTCATGGTGTGTCTGTGTGTGTGTCTGTGTCATGGTGTGTGTGTCTGTGTGTATTTAAAAAGTGTTTTTACTCACCTTTTTTTTTTTTTCTCCCCACGCCGTGCTGGTCTCCCCTCGACTGGCCCTTCCTCTATGGCTGAGATCATCAAGCTCTGCCATAGGATTGGCTGCAAAGGCCCTAAATGTAGGTGCTGCACACTGTGCAATCACACTTTGCAGCACTGACACAGGAAGCACCTCTAGTGAATGTCTGAGTGACTGTCACTAGAGGTGTCACCAGGAAACAATGTAAACACTGCCATTTCTCGGGAAAGTCACGGTTTACATTGAAAAGCCTGCAGGGACAGGCTATAGACACCAGAACCACTACATTAAGCTGTGTGTGTGCCTGCTAGTGAGTGAGCTTGCTTGCGTGTGTGTATCTGCTAGTGAGTGAGTGAACCTGTGTTTTTATGCCAATGAGCTTATTTATATCAGTGACATTGTTTGTCTATGAGGCTGTGTATCAATGAGCTTGTGTGTGTGTGTCAGTGAGATTGTCTGTGTCTGCATGTGAGTATGCTTAATGTATAATTAAATGTTTTACTCTGAAAGGACCAATATATACATATTAGAAAAAGCAATATATATTATATATATATATATATATATATATATATTTTTTTTTTTTTTTTTACTCAACCATCTGGGGTGGCAAGACATTGCCTTACATATTACATGGCAATGACTTACATATTACACGGCAATGACTTATGGGGCTGGCATAGATTTTTTTTTTCAGGGCTGCTTTGTATCCCCAGCTCGGCCCTGCGGACACTCAGCTTGGTACTCCAGTCTCACCCCCAGAGATGTCCCCTCCCCTCTAGCAGTGAGTGATGCTACAGTAATCCCAAGCAGGCATTTCCCATATCGACAATCCGGAGCAGTAGAGAAGCGATAAAGCAATCCAAAGAGCAGTGGTATGGCTGATATAGCTTTCTCCCACACACATGAGACAAGGCTCTATGCTGTGGATGAACTGGTTTTAATGGGAGCCACACACAGCCTTTTCTGTAACTCCCCATGCATGGGGTTTCCTAAATTCCCTGCTGGACCCGAGAGGAGACTAATTAAATCTAAATTGCATTATCTCTCAGGTTCACAACATATACATGTATTACAACCTAAAACATACATTTTACAAACAGGTACCCCCTCAACTCTTATATCCCCGGATAGCCTGGATCTGAGCACTCAACATATCACGAAAGCGCTCAGATCTCACAAATGCAGCCGAAACACCACTAAGTTAAAGTTTAGACCGACCGCACACGAGGCGTCTGCCCAAAATAGTTCCAGGAAATTAGGCTGAGCGGTCGGTCGCCTTCGGGGGTATAAAATACAGTAACAATACCAAACGTAACTATTCGTGCGTACACTGATTCTGTGTTCCTCATTCGGGAGTGTGCTCCCACTTAACGCCTTTTAGTTCTGATGATTTTAACCAAACATAGATTGAGGTTAAAGTTTCAGCGGTGTTCGGGTGGTCGAGTGTCCGATTTTGTTCCATACTAAGATCGCCATGTGTTCGCACATACGAACAGCGACCACCCAGCCGACCGCTTAGAATGTTGTGGTTATTGCAGTTAATGAGGTGATGCCATTCTAAGGCGCGGTAATACATTTTTGTGGGTTTCCTCATTCCTGCATGTTCCTGCTAAGGAGTAAGATAAGGGTTCATGCATTTAGTCACCTTATAGGGACCAGTGAGGTGACTTGTAAGTAAGGAATCTGAGATGGATGTTTTTACTTGAAAGCAAAGCCCAATCTCTTACATGATATGTAGAAACAGCCTTGCATTTTTTTATCAGCATGCCATTTCTGGAGTTCACTAGTTCTCTTCATGGTGATCTGAGACTGTGCCCAAATAAAATATACGTTCTCAAGATTCTGGTATAATGCAGGCATTCCTGCTCCTTTAAATGCACTAGGAAGAACAATGTCATGGCACCATTGACTGATAATGAATGAAGTTGCTGGATCACAGCATGATTTGGATTGTTGTGGGAAATGTTGCCCAGGACAGCAGGTTAGACTAATTATATTGATGGTCAGAAATAAAGAATTGGAGATATGGACTGACACGCTTAACTGCTCAATTAGTATGAGGATTGTAAGCAGGACAAAAACAATTCAATACCCATCTCAAAGTAAAAGTGTTTCTAAAATCTAAACACAAATTGACTGCCCTGGTCAGACACAATATTACAAAGTAACCATGTAGCCTCTCTTCTCTCCTTTTCAGGATCACAGAGTTTATTGGAGGACATTGGAGGGGTCATCTATCTTGAGCACCCTTGATGTAGTCAATTAAAGATTAATCAAGAGATGAATTGTTAAACAAACTGTTGCAATATGTAGTCAATAGTTATAAACTGTAGGATAAATGCTACTATTTGGAATATAGCCTAATTTGGATATTGAGATAACTATCAAATACATTTTGTAAATATATATACTTTCATCTATAATGTTTAATAACTTTTTACAATAATATGTTTTATGGGACATTAGGTCTCTAAATGTTGAAATTTTTACAAATGTAGAATGGCAAATATTTGTTATAGGAGAAAATTTCTGATTAGTATTTTTTACCAGGAAAAAGATGTGACCCCCGATCAAATGTTGTTGAAGAAAGTCAGAGAAGCATCAGTTCAGATTGAAGCCTTGTCTTCAGTTAAGGCTCAAAACAGCAAAAAGTCTTCAAATTCTCCTTACATTGATTTCTTCCTTGCTTTAGCCATTTGCAATACAGTGGTAGTCTCCACAGCAACTGAACCAAGGCAGAGGGTAAGCCCACTTGATGTATTGCTTCTTATCTTTTACAAACCATCTGCTAACTTTAGAATTAGAAAAATTAACTTGAATTTTTTTTTTATGTTTGCCTTAACTGACACCTGTGTATAGACAAATGTTATGGCTTTAACAAAACAAAACAAACATAATAATAAGAGAGAGACCTTTTCAGAGGAAAAATATATGTCCTCAAAGTAAACATATACTAAGAGGTAAAATAAAAATTTTAATGGTAATAGTAAAATTGTAAAAAACAATAATCTATTCTGCTTAACATGAATAGCAAGTAAGTATATCTTAGGACCAGGACTACAATTGTATCCAGTGGAAAGGTTACAATGAACAATAGCCTTAAGAAGTGCTGCAGACAAATCAAACAGCTGAAGCAGCACAAAGAAGCTGCTGTTATCAAACAAGAGATAAGACCTAAAGAATACAATAAAAAAAGGAGGAATAAAGTAAACCAACGATTGGAAAAGCCTCAGGTAAGTAATAAATCAAAAGAAAATGTATGGCTAAAGCCTATTATACTCGTGCCTTGGAGGGCACCTATCATAAATACAGAAAAAAACTAGATAAAAGGAAAATCAAACTTGCTAAACAGAACTTGAGAATAGGTGATTAAAATCTAAATATAACACGGCAGTTCGTCAAATGATCTTTTCATTTAGATATTTCAAATGAATAACCCAGGAAGGTATGATAGTTCTCATAAGACAAATACCACAGAGCCCCTGACGCGTGCGTTTCGCCAGAGTGGCTCATCTGAAATTCTCACTTATGACAGCTAGTTAGAGATGTAAAATATATCAGACAAAGGTATTGATTTAATTCTGGGTACCAATAAAAGTTGATCATTGTTGTCCTTTTTCAGCAGATTTTTTTTTAAATTGCATTTTGGTTGGATGCAATGCCAGCTGAAATTCTGTAAGCCAAAATTGATCAGCTGACTGAAATAAATCCACAGATAAATGTGCATTTATCAGAATTTTGTAAATGAGTGTGTGCCTCTTTGTCCATCCCCTTGGGGTGTCTTCCCCCTTCTGCAGTCCCAGCTTACCTCCTATTAGAATGCCTGTTTAGAACAATGCCCCACTTCGGGTGGAAAAGCCTAATGTTTTGATTGAAGTTGGACAGGCTAATGCAGAAGATAACTTCTTTAATAGCTGAGCTGCTCCTGATGGAATGGGCTATAGTTTTTGAAACCACTTGAAATTTTTTCGACACAAGCCAGGGAGAATGCACCCAAGGTCTCTTTACCCCACTACAATAAAACTGTAAAGGTGATTGTGTGTTGAGTGTTCTTTTAATGTTCTTTGTTTCTGTGTTCTTGAAGGTCACTGGCCCACCAATGTTTAAACCAGCAGGAACATCATTAGACAAATTCCAACATCTGTTTCAAAGGCTAAGGTTTTTGACACTGAGTCAGTCATCTACATCCACTCAATCAAACGCCGACCCTGAAACACATTCAAAGTCAAAGAGCAATAAAATAAAGCCAACTTCAGGATCTGACATTGTGTCCAGTTCAAGCTGTGGTGATGCTGAATTAACAAACCTTGGGAAAAAAGATGCTTCAATAAGCCAGACCAGCAGTGACAACTGTATAGATGAAATGTATGCTAATATTTCTCCTTTTAATATAGAAGATGATTTTTGCTATGAAGCAGAAAGTCCAGATGAAGCTGCATTGGTTCATGCAGCCAGAGCTTATAGTTTCACACTCATGTCCCGTACTCCTGAACATGTAACTATAAGGCTTCCACAGGGCACACTTCTCACTTTTGAACTCCTTTATACATTGGGATTTGATTCAGTCCGAAAAAGAATGTCAGTGGTAGTTCGTGATCCAATAACAAAAGAAATCATTGTATACACTAAGGGAGCTGATTCAGTGATCATGGATTTATTAGATGACCCATCAAAAGGTATTCACCTATGAACTGTAATGTACTAGTTCGCTACATGATATTTTAGATTACTATTAGTGCATAAAAGACTAGACAAGACTTCATAAAATGGATGAGTATGCTCTGTTGAATGTAACTATTGATTCTTGCTTGCTTTGTTATTTAAAAAAATATGGAAGCATGAGTTATGATAATAAGTGCCTATTAGTGTGCTGCAGTGGAAACAAACAACAATACTATTGCCTAGCTTAATGGTTAGGCAATCTTAGGTATAATTGCAATGACAATTCTGAATTGTCAAAACTAAATAATTAAATTTGTATTAAAAATTTTTTAAGTAAGAGAAGATATACCGGTAGTTTTATAACGTTTGATAGTTTTTCCTTCTATTAATGAAAAATAAAGTACACCAGCAGCATGTTCCTTCTTTTGTCTTGTTATCTTTTAGAGTTGAACTCAAGACAAATTTGGTAATAATTTTAACTGCATGTTTTAGAGTGTTCTCACCTTTTTATATATCTTTTATAACACACAATTACACCACTGCATTCCAATGGCAATGGTACATACCAATACACTCCTACATGCACACAATTACTCTATACAAAACATGCTTACATTCAAATGCACAAACACTGCTCACAAATACAACCCTGCAAGGATCCCCACCTAGTATAACATTGTTGGAGTTGTATGACAGATAGGGATTTAACTTTTCTCCACACTTGCACTAGAGGGGTCTAAAAAAATTAGTTCTCCCAATGCTCCTAGCAGGAGCTTCCTGCTGCAAGACAGGAGGAGCGTGGAGTCAGGAGGAGCCAGGTTAGCCTCATTAGAAGTCAAACCATCCTTAAATGGTGCACTCCTGGCTCCTCCAGGCTTCACTCTACACCTGTCTGGCAGCAGGAAGCAGGAGTATTACTTTAATTAATTGAACATTTCAAGTGCATTGATTGGAAAGAGATAGTGTTGTTATATTTTTATTTCATGGTGTAATATGCATATTCTTCTTTCAAATGATTAGTTATTAGCATTGTCCCAAGTTAATACATTTCCTACATTTTCATATGTAAAAAGGTTACATTTTCAGAAGCAAAACTGAACCAAATAGTTAATGAAGCATATTTTATTTTTAAAATGACTATTAATTTAAATAATATTATCTTACAGCTAATATAATTGAAGAAAAGAGGTTGCGAAAGATACAGGCAAGAACCCAGAGGCATCTAGATTGGTATGCTAGAGATGGGCTGAGAACACTTTGCATAGCTAAAAAGGTGAAAAAAAAATGAACTGAAACTTTTGTGTGACAATCAGCAAAATGATATAATTTGTGAGCAAGGTTTCTGATAGATAGGAAAGTCAACTATTGTTACAAATAATAGAAAGTGATTGATATATTTCACATAGTGATAGCAGTGATTGATATAGTTCATGTAGTACTTTATGTCTGTTTTATAAACGAAAGTGATAAATAGAAGAATAAACATAATGCTGATTTTAAAATCATCTTGTATTTGCATTTTGAGTTAAGAGCTTAACAATTTCATTACTAGATGAGTACCTCATATGCTGGTTGAATCAGGACTGTTTTAATGCATGGGCACGATTGGCAGTTGGCACAAGCATAGGGGCCCCATAGGCTTGCCAACGTTTCAGTATATTATTGGGAGATTTATTTAGAACCTTCAAAGCCACTTCATTAAAAAATGTAGGTGTACTAATCACCTTACTATCAGCTTTTATTTGTACATGTGATACACTTAACAAAGTACACATACATAAACAAGACAAAATCAATATACATCATTTTTTTTAAGCCTTAAAGTTATAATAAAGTTCTTCTAATATTTTTAACAGTCCATGACATCTCCCTCCTGCTGCTACCTTCTAAATGTTGTGTGGATTAATCTCCATGAGCGGCTGGTGGGGTCCCTAAGTGACAATAAGGGGGGGAGTTATTGCCCCCCAGGATTCCCACCCATGAGCAGCGGGTGGGGGCCCAAAGTGACAATTGTCTCTCTGGGCGATGAGGATCATCCCGTCGCTTACCACCAGTTGTTTTTACACTCTCAGCTTAAATGAGTGAAACCGCCGTTTAGGTGATCTTCCCCCTTTTGAGACACAGGCTCTGCTGCTGTAGACCGCCAAACTCCCGAACGGAGTGTAAGGGATTACTTCAAACTCCTGAACAAAGAATCAGCCAAACTCCTTCTCTCCTAGAATAGGCGAAATAACACTTCCAAGTAGCAATCCCCCCAAACACGAGACCAAGCTCCGTCTTGAGGGTAAAACAGGAATCTCCTTTAATGAGGGCTACCTGCCCGGTATTTATGCAGGTCTCCCACCTGGTGGACACTCACCTAGGGTACCAGTTGGGAGACTGGGACACATAATGTACAGTAGCCAATCACAGTGGCTCAACTATAAACACTCCCCTTTGCACAAGTAAATCCCTCCTCTCTATCCTGGAGATAATTGGGAAGAAATCCAATTATCTCCAGGGATAGAGGCAAATCACCATTTTACATAGTATAATAAAAACACAGAAAAATCCATAACTATAAAACTACCGAATGCTTTTAGTTTGTGTAACGTATCCCCAGATAGCCTGGGTCTGGGCACACATAACTACTGAATAGCGCTCAGACCCAATGCACACAGTTCAATCGCCAAGGAGTCAAAGTCTTTCACATTGCTCTTTCGGTATACGATTGACTCCATGGGATGACCATCTGGGTTAAGTCCATTCGTGTAATAAAAGTCCCGAACTGACCAGCGTTCGCATGCCCGGGGATAAGAAGGGCGGTCGGCAGTTTCAGCGGTGTTCAGTAGAAAAAGTGTCAGTTTTTAGTTCCATAGTTTGAGTGCCGAACACCGCTGTGCATTCGCGTGTTTAAAATGGCCGCCACCTCGTGGTTGACATGCGAACGACGACCACCCTGCATACAGTTCTAATCAAGAGGTGTCTGCGGTTAACCACAATGTTCTTCATAATTCATTTTCTGCACTTTCAGAGTGTAATGGTGTTGTGGAGAGAGGCACTGAGGCTAGTGGTGTTGTGGAGAGAGGCACTGAGGCTAGTGGTGTTGTGGATAGAGGCACTAAGACTAGTGGTGTTGCAGAGAGAGGCACTGAGGCTAGTGGTGTTGTGGAGAGAGGCACTGAGGCTAGTGGTGTTGTGAGGAGAGGCACTGAGGCTAGTGGTGTTGTGAGGAGAGGCACTGAGGCTAGTGGTGTTGTGGAGAGAGGCACTGAGGCTAGTGGTGTTGTGGAGAGAGGCACTGAGGCTAGTGGTGTTGTGGAGAGAGGCACTGAGACTAGTGGTGTTGTGGAGACCGGCTTGGAGACTATGGTGAGGCCTAATAGAAAGCAGTTGTTGTTGGGTGATTCCATTATAAGAGGTGTGGAGATGGACAATGGTGGTCTTGTGAGGTGTCTTCCCGGAGCTACTGCTCACAGAGACAGGAGACGTATCTGTAATATTGTTAAGCAAGCAAAGCAGGAAGGGGAATTGGATGTACTTGTCCATCTAGGGACAAATGACTTGGCTTGCAATGAGGTTTCAGAGGTTAAGGAAGTTTTTAGTGTTTTGCCAATGATATACGGCAGGTTGCTTCCACACTGTCATTCTCTGAAGTTCTGCCTGTGCATAACACTCAGAACGACAGGCGGATGCGTATTAGGGACTTTAATTTGTGGCTTGGTGAATGGTGTCGGGAGCAAGGATTTGGCTTTATTTCTCATGGTAGCTCTGTTTGGAATGGAGATAAGCTGTACAAAAAAGATGGTTTGCATCTTTCTCAAAAGGGAACAAATGTTCTCAGTGAGCAGTTCAGAGGTTTTGCTAGGATGTATTTAAACTAGGAGGGGGGGGCAAAAGGGTGATAAAACATCAATCCAATTGTCCCCAAAACAAGGACAGAAGGTGCCTGTAGCAAGTGTGTTAAAAAATGATAAGCTAAGAGTCATGTCTACAAATGCTCGCAGTTTAGGGAATAAGATCCATGAACTTGTGGCAATAATGGCAACTGATAGTGTAGATTTAGTCGCTGTTACTGAGACATGGTACAATGAGAAAAATGACTGGGACATAGCCATACCAGGGTACTCTTTATATAGGAAAGATAGGGAAGGCAAGAAAGGGGGAGGGGTGGCCTTGTATGTGAAGGATAGCATAAAATCTAGCCTAATAAAAGTTAGTGAGGCAAACATAGAGTCCGTTTGGGCTACGTTAGAATTTGGTAATCACACAGTAACTCGTGTAGGTGTGATTTATAGGCCCCCAGGACAAATTGAAGATTTAGATAATCTACTAGTTGAGGAAATAGCTAAAATGACAATGAAGGGGAAGTTATCATCATGGGTGACTTTAATCTTCCTGATGTAAATTGGAAAACAAAATTAGCTACTTGTGCCAGGAGCACACATATTCTAAACTCCCTACTGGGATTGTCTCTAAAACAAGTTGTTGAGGAGCCAACTCGTAAAGAGGCCATACTAGATTTAGTGTTAACAAATGGAGATTTGGTATCAGATGTTACTGTAGGTGAAAGTTTAGGATCCAGTGATCATCAGTCAGTGTGGTTTAATATAAGAACAGTGACTGAGTCACACCACACAAAAACAAAAGTTTTAGACTTTAGAAAAACAGACTTTTCTAAAATTAGAATATGGGTAGAGGAGTCATTATCAGACTGGAGCAATTTAAATGGAGTCCAAGAGAAATGGGATTATTTAAAAGTTGCACTATTGAAGGCAACAGAAAATTGCATTAGGCTTGTCAGTAAAAGCAAAAAATTCAAGAAACCACTGTGGTACTCCGCAGATGTGGCCAAAATAGTTAAAAACAAAAAGTTAGCATTTAGGAATTATAAAAAAACCCAGAGTGAGGAAGACAAAATGATCTATAAGATTAGGCAGAAAGAGGCTAAGCAAGTTATAAGAGCTTCCAAATCACACACAGAAGAGAAAATAGCACAGTCAGTAAAAAAGGGGATAAAACATTTTTTAGATACATAAATGAGAAAAGAAAAGTAAAACAAGGATTAGTTAGATTAAAAACAAAAGAAGGAAGGTATGTAGAAGAGGATAAAGGTCAGGCTGACTGCCTCAATGAATATTTTGTTCTGTATTTACAGAAGAAAATGAAGGAAAGGGACCTCAGTTGAGAAAAAGGATAAATGAGTCATTTATTACACGTGAGTTTACAGAGGAAGAGGTTCTATTTCAACTGTCAAAAGTAAGACAAATAAGTCAATGGGACCTGATGGAATACACCCAAAGCTATTAAAAGAGCTTAGTGGTGTACTAGCAAAACCATTAACAGATTTATTTAACCAATCGTTGTTAACAGGAGTAGTCCCAGAAGATTGGAAGTTAGCGAATGTTGTGCCCATTTACAAGAAAGGTAATAGGGAGGAGTCGGGCAACTATAGGCCAGTAAGCCTTATTTCAGTAGTGGGGAAAGTGATGGAAACCATGTTAAAGGATAGGATTGATGAACATCTAAAACACATGGATTTCAAGATCAGAGACAACATGGGTTTACTTCAGGGAGATCATGCCAAACTAATCTTATTGATTTTTTTGATTGGGTAACTAAAATTATAGATCAGGGTGGTGCAGTAGACATTTGCTTACCTAGATTTCAGTAAGGCTTTTGACACTGTTGCACATAGAAGGCTTATCAATAAACTGCAATATTTAAGTTTGGATTCCAATATTGTTGAATGGGTAAGACAGTGGCTGAGTGACAGGCAACAGAGGGTTGTAGTTAATGGAATATATTCGAAGCTTGGACTTGTCACCATTGGGGTACCTCAGGGATCTGTACTTGGACCCATTCTCTTTAATATTTTTATTAGTGATATTGCAGAAGGTCTTGATGGTAAGGTATGTCTTTTTGCTGATACTAAGATATGTAACAGGGTTGATGTTCCAGGAGGGATAAGCCAAATGACAAATGATTTAGGTAAACTAGAAAAATGGTCAGAATTGTGGCAGCTGACATTTAATGTGGATAAGTGCAAGATAATGCATCTTGGACGTAAAAACCCAAGGGCAGAGTACAGAATATTTGATAGTATCCTAACCTCAACATCCGAGGAAAGGGATTTAGGGGTGATTATTTCTGATGACTTAAAGGTAGGCAGACAATGTAATAGAGCAGCAGGAAATGCTAGCGGAATGCTTGGTTGTATAGGGAGAGGTATTAGCAGTAGAAAGAGGGAAGTGCTCATGCCATTGTACAGAACACTGGTGAGACCTCACTTGGGGTATTGTACACAGTACTGGAGACCGTATCTTCAGAAGGATATTGATACCTTAGAGAGGGTTCAGAGAAGGGCTACTAAACTGGTTCATGGATTGCGGGATAAAACTTACCAGGAAAGGTTAAAGGGTCTTAACATGTATAGCTTGGAGGAAAGACGAGACAGGGGGGATATGATAGAAACATTTAAATATATAAAGGGAATCAACACAGTAAAGAGGAGACTATATTTAAAAGAAGAAAAACTACCACAACAAGAGGACATAGTCTTAAATTAGAGGGACAAAGGTTTAAAAAATAATATCAGGAAGTATTACTTTACTGAGAGGGTAGTGGATGCATGGAATAGCCTTCCAGCTGAAGTGGTAGAGGTTAACACAGTGAAGGAGTTTAAGCATGCATGGGATAGGCATAAGGCTATCTAACTATAAGATAAGGCTAGGGACTAATGAAAGTATTTAGAAAATTGGGCAGACTAGATGGGCCGAATGGTTCTTATCTGCCGTCACATTCTATGTTTCTATGTTTCTATGTTTCTATGTTTCTATGTTTCTAATTGAGGCCAATAGGTTAACCAGCAGCACACTTCTCCTCTGGGTGGCCGTCTGTTCGGTAGTTTTATTCGGTATAATCTGAAATAGATGAACAGGCAGGTAATTCCACAAAAGTATAACAATTAGGCGAACCAGCAGATAGAACTTAGACAGATGGATCTGTCACAGCTATCCTTATGAAAACAAATGGATCCAGAAATTGTGGAAACAATTTGTTCAGAAAACTTTTTTCCCAGTAATTTTGGATGCAGCCGAATTTTGAAGTTTCCAAATTCAGAAATATGGACAAAATTAATTAGTCCAAAAATGAATCCACATGTCTAGTTCTACAGTGTTCCCTGGGATTTGAGAGAAGGTGACTACAAAGAGAGGCAATTTGTTTGAATTGCATCCTATAATTTTCCTTGCTCAACCAAAATAAGACAGGGTTATTCCCAAAGAGTGAGAAATTCAAGGTAAATTGAAAGTTAATTTAAATTTTAAGACCAAAATAGCCAAACTGGAACTCTACCTGACTTTCATCCAGTTTTAGCCTTAAATTTGAAATTCACTTTCAATTTACTTTGAATTTGTGACAGTTCTCACTAAAGTGAATAAAGCTGTAAATGGTACCCCTAAACTTGTAGGTTATGATTTTTATGAGTTGTTATGTTTTAGTCAGACTCTCCACTGTCCAAATACAACAACACCAACATCAACAATAATAAATCCCAATTAAAACATATTTCCAATGAAAACATGCACGCATTTAATTTCATTGGGGGTAAATCTAAAAACAGCTTGCAAAATCTGCAGATCTAAACGTTTGCAAGCACATCCCTTCTCCACCAGCCCAAATTTTCTGTGGCTGTCCAATCACAGACTTCCCAATGCATCTCAATGGAACGTTTTAGCAAGGCAGGTTCTTTTGGCTCTCGCCTGCCTCTGGAGTATAGCTACACAGGGGATAAACAATCAGGAAGCAACAGGACTGGTTGTCTGATTGATAGCCAGAGGAGTATAACAAAATGTATTTATAAAAGTGCCAATTTCAATTTAAATTTACACTTTTTCTACAATGAACAAATGAGGACACACTCTTCATACATGAAACACTTCAGCATCCTCAAGTTCTCTAGTAGTCTGGAGTAGCCCTTCAAGTAGGCAAAATACGCACATCAAATGTTAATGCAATTGCTCTTTTTAAGAGTTGCTTCTTCCTTTAGTTGTATTTACAAAAAAATTCAACTTCTCAAGTTTCTGTACTAATCTGTATGAATTCGGATGTATATTAACATATATTTATATAATTACACCACCATGTATATCATCTAAATATATAGATTTTAAGTGAAGAGGAATTTAAACGTTGGTCAAGTTTCCGTACAGAAGCTGAAGCTGCAATTGAGAACAGAGAAGAGCTGCTCATGGAGACTGCACAGCACCTGGAAAAGAACCTTTGTCTAATAGGTTGGTTACAAGTCAATGTAAGGTTGTGCAAATATCCATCAATACCCACCTTCTTCTAGCACCCCTCCACCCCACTACATTATGTGTGGGGTTTGCTGCATGTAATTGTTTGGGGACTGACCGAGTGTCATTCTCTGATGACATGCTGAGTGAGATTGTGTGGGGGCTTTTGTGGGGTACCAAGACTGCTTTTAGTGGTTGTCCATCGACTTTTTGGTCTCCTAACTGACGCTGGATGTTCTCACACTCTGCATAAGGATATCCAGCATTAGTAAAATCCCCATAGGAAACTATGGAAGCAATGTTTTTTTTCTATAGGCAGGGGCTGTGAGGATATTTATGGGGTAATAAATATTAAAAATATTTTATCAAAATTATCAAAAATTTATTTAACAATTTCTATTAATATCAAAAATTAATATTTTGGGACTGTTTCCTCTTGATAGATTTAAAGCAAAGAGTTACCCATTATTTTAACTCTTATAGACCCTGTACGTTTATTAGAGGATTTGTAGTTCACACATTAATCACAACTGATTATAAAAATATAATTTATTGTGACAAATAATTAATAAAAATAATAAGTAACATGCATGACAATATGAGTGAATATTTAGGTATAACAATAAGTATAAGATATAGCAACAGTTATGACACAATAACCATAATTAAAGATAGCTTAATAGCAACATATCGAGCAACATAAGTAGATTAATTTCTAAAGGAGTTACATGCAAGTTACAAATAATTCCTCTAGAATTTAATTAACAGTTATTCAACAATGTTGAACTTTGGACCCAGGACATACTTGAAAATGAGAGAAATCTCAATGTATCTTTCCTGGTAAAATATTTTATAAATAAATAAATAATGTTATAGGAAACCTTTCAGCTTTTAAAATTCCTTTACACAGAATGTAACAGAGCTTTGCAGCTTCAAGTCGTAAAAACCTTAAATGCTGTCAGCTGTCAGGCTACAATTTTCACAGGCTAAACATTTGAATATCGCAATTAAAAGATAGTGTTTCTCGCACAAATAGTCAATTTAACCATTTTCTTTTCACATCCAGTAACCAAAAGAATAATTTTAACAAAGTTTTTAACACTGCAGATGATCAGTTTACTGTTTAGATTAAGATTAACTATTCCTAAAACTCATATAGGTCAATCTCTCTGGATAAAAGCTTGATATGGTAAATTTGGTAATTTACCAGTAAATATATTATTCTTTTATTCCATCTGCAGATATGTAATATGTAATTATATATTTCTCAGCTACTTATGATTTCAAAAGTTTAAAATATGCTCAGCATTATCAAGGTATATTTTAGCTTATATTAAAAATGAAAGAATTTAAATTAAATTAAACCAGCATATTTACCAGCTTTCTAGGTAGAAAAGGCTTGGAGATATAATCCCGTGATGGTGCATGCAAGTAGAAAGTGTTTGGATAGAAAAGTGTAGAATTATAAAGATAGTTCTGACTAGCAAATAATTTTTAACTAAGTCCCAGAAATTCAGTTGGAAAAGACAGAGTGTTAAGTGTTTCTTGTCCGGTCTCATCTGATGATCTAACATCCAACACTCTGGATCTGACCCTGGATCTCTCTTTCCTTTTTCGATCTCCTTTGTTCACAATTTTTAAAAAAATTCTTATTTAAAGTTTCTTTACATCACTAATTTTAAATGACCAATGGGTTAGGTAGGTGTATCTTCTTTTACTGATTGTCTTATAGACTTTGATCAATAAATGGAGTTGTAGCATCACAAAAATTTCTCATTACGAATTCAAACTACCACTTTGTCTAAGGGGTTAATTTAATTTTGTGACACATCAATCAAGCTAGCTGTCAAACTTCAAGAGATTTTGTGAGACTTGCAATCTCGTTTTCAGGCTATAAAGTATATTTTTGAGGCATTTGGACTTTGGTTCAACTCTCTCTTACAATGGGTTCTTGTAGGAATCCCATTAAATTTAAAAAGTAAAGTTAAATATTTAGAAAATATCTCTTCTTGATAATTCTGTGTTAAATGTTATTTGTATACATGTCTTTTACACACATTCAGCTAAAATTAGTCTAATAATATTGAAATTTATTCATTAGGATTCTATCTTAATGAATACATTTCTATGAATATTCAATATTATTAACATGGTACTATTTTTATATGATTAGATATAATTATATGGTTAGTATAATATGAAATTAAATTTGAATGCTCACTTAAATGAATAACCCTGGTAATATCAGCTTAAAATGCATAATAATTGTGTACTTTTCACAATTGTAAGGTAGTCATTATGGAAATTAAAAGAACACTGCAGGCACCACAACCACTACAACAAATTTGCTAGAGATTTGTGGTCCTAAGCAGCCTACCCATCCTCCAATTTTGAAATGTCAGAGGTATAGCTAGGCTGCGGTCAATCACTTTCACAATCCCTGGTATTAATTGGTATTGCTTCAGGCTACCAGGAGCCACACAATCTTTACTCAATTATGAATTAACTGATTACTAGTAATGTGCAATACAGCATGCATGTACTAAAGACACCCATGATCACTTTAATATGTTAAAGTAGTGATAGTGCCTATAGTGTTATTTTATGGATCCTTTTTTATGGATTCTTAACCCCTCAAGGACCAAACTTCTGGAATAAAAGGGAATCATGACATGTCAGACATGTCATGTGTCCTTAAGGGGTTAAACAAACATTGAATAGTTAATAGAACTTTATTAGACAAAAAAAATTGTGAAAGAAAAGGTGGACTGCTTAAGTATTTATAAACAACATAATTAGAATTACCATATATATCAAATATAATGGGGTTTTCAACACCCAAACATAGATACATGAGAGACAGAAAAGAAACTAATACTAGTGCAACAAATCTGAATACTTCTTCAATATATGGATAAATACCAGCTCCCTTGGAACACAGAAAATAAATTCTGGTTTTTTTTCTGAAGTTGTTATGTTGCTTAGTGATATTGAGCCTCCTTTCCAAGCTCTAGATTTATTAGTGCTATAGATGTATTTGTGCCACAAGGGGTGACACTGCCTCTTTAGCAGCAAGACAAAATCATCTTACAGGTATCAGACTTTTTTTTTAGTTAAATGAAATACGAAAATAAAAAAACAAATACCAAAGCCACTCAGTGTTCATCCAAGTTTTTGATCCCAGGCTTTTTATTCAGTATTTGCTTATCTTCCGGAATGATCCTTTAAAATTATCCTTTAAAAGTTGGTCGGTGTGAGTGTATTGACAAAAGAAAAGGGAGAAAAGGGTGGGAGGATTTGGAGTATTAGATAATCCAAAATATAGAGTAGTGGAAATATGATTGTTCATCAATTTAGCATCTGATTTCTGATTTCTAGAGATCTGATTTCATATAACTTTTACTCAATATAAATAAAAGGGTAATATGCACCTATGCAATACCAAACATACCTAAGACCCAAGTGACACCACCGTCTAAACATCAATCTCACAGAAACCTCCAATGTCTTGACCTAGAGCATTTCTCCATCAATCTCCAACCTCCTTTTACCTATCTCAAACCTCACCTGCCCTAGCCCCGCAACCTCCTTCTATAATTCCACCCTCTCCTCTCAACTAGACATCATGGCACCTCCTACATTTAAATGCAGCAGGGGCCCCCAACAACAACCTTGGGACACCAAGCTGACTCGATACCTCAAAAAATGCTCCAGAATTGCTGACCGCTGTTGGAGAAAATCTCACCATGCATTTGACTTTCTCCACTATAAATGTATGCTGCGCTCATGCAGCTTGGCTCTTTCCTTTGCAAAAGTAAATTACTTCAATACGCTCATTACCACACTCTCCTGCGGATCCAAATGACTATTTCTTTTTTTTTTTCAGCCAAATGACTATTTCACACATTTAACTCTCTTCTTCACCCTATTGTTCCTCCTCCACCTACTAACTTGACCACCTCAGAATTTGCAGCTCACTTAACTGACAAGATCTCTACAATCAGGGAAGAGATCTCTCATCTTTCTTTTTCCCCTTACAATACTTCCCCTGACCACCTGCTCTGCTCCAGTCCTCCCGCCCCACCACCTGCTCCCTAGATCCAATTCCCTCACATCTCATCCGTACTCTGTCTTCTTCTCTTTCTCCACCTCTCACTAAAATTCTCTATCTCTCTCTCTCTCATGCCATATTTCGATTGCCCTTCAAACATGCAACTGTAACCCCAATTCTAATGAAGCCCAACTTTGACCCTAACTCCCCGTCCAACTACCGTCCTATTTTGCATCCAATATCCTTGAAAGAGTTGTATGCAAGATTGACAGACTTCCTTGAGTCTAACTCTCTGCTACACCCGCTTCAGTCTGGTTTCTGCGCTAAGCACTCTGTGAAAACGGCACTGACCAAAGTATCCAATGATCTACTCGCTGCAAAATCTCATGGTCACTACTCCATCCTAATTCTCTTTGACCTCTTTGCGGCTTTTGACACTGTTGATCATCAACAGCTTCTTCTCATCCTCTGCAATATTGGTCTACAAGATAGTGCTCTCTCCTGATGCTCCTCCTACCTCTCCCAGTGCTCACACTAACACAAACATATACAACACCCAGTGTAACACTCATAGGAAGAAACATATATATACTTCCCAGTAGTCACTTTCAGTAGTTAAAACATGGCATCTCCCATAGAATCTAAAATAAACAAATGTAACCAAAAAAAAGAGAAATTTAGCCAATCTAGATAAAGAAATTAATGAAATTCAACAAAAACTTATAGGGGGCTGTACGGAGATTGAAAGCTCATTAAAGGATGTTAACGAACAGGTAGAAAAAGTAGTGTTGTTGTGGGTTCACATTCAGGTATTTTTGGAATCTAATACCCCGTGCATTGACAAGTGGTCATATGAATATATGTTTGTATTTGTATTCACTTAGGGGCAACGGGCATAGAAGATCGTCTTCAGGATGGAGTACCAGATACCATTGCTGCCTTAAGAGAAGCTGGCATAAACATTTGGGTGCTGACTGGAGATAAACAGGAAACTGCAATTAACATTGCATATTCATGTCAACTATTAGACCAAAGTGATACCGTGTTTACAATCAATACCGAGAGCAAGGTTTGTTAATCATAAAAATTAGTTTTCTCTGAAAGTTGTAAGAAATTGCTTAAATTAGGCCATCCCAACATTTTCTTCTTATACTCCAACTTTTAATATATTATAATATAAAAATACTGAACAAATTGCTTTCCTCTATTCAGCATTATGGAACTTGATGTCTAGCAACAAATGTAGAGTTGGTTTATAGACAGTCCTGAAATGTTTGAATGTCAGCTTATCTTGCATAACATTAAAATAAACCAAACACCACCAAGTACATCAGTTATGTTAGATTTTTCAATTATTATTCATTTTATTCCTGTAGTCAAAATGCCAACAGTCTTTATTATTGTAGCGGATGGCACTGGGCTGTCCTGGGAATTGTATAGGTTTTAACTGCATTCGTGTAAATGGCAAGTAATATGTGTAGAAATTAGTGATGTCGCGAACCCGAAATTTTCGGTTCGCGAACAGCGAACGCGAACTTCCGCAAATGTTTGAGAACCGGCGAACCACCCGAACCGCCATTGACTTCAATGGGCAGGCGAATTTTAAAACACACAGGGACTCTTTCTGGCCACAATAGTGATGGAAAAGTTGTTTCAAGGGGACTAACACCTGGACTGTGGCATGCCGGAGGGGGATCCATGGCAAAACTCCCATGGAAAATTACACAGTTGATGCAGAGTCTGGTTTTAATCCATAAAGGGCAGAAATCACCTAACATTCCTAAATCACAATGAATATGGATTGACACCTGACATATGACATATTGACACCTTGACATATGGATTGACACCTGTCCTCAGAGCCCCTGATGCACACGGACACAGAGCAGAATAGAGACTGGTCCCCCTACATAGGGTCACTTGGCAGATATGGATTGACACCTGTCCTCAGATCCCTGATACACACTGACACAGAGCAGAATAGGGACTGTTCCCCCTACATAGGGTCACTTGGCAGATATGGATTGACACCTGTCCTAAGAGACCCTGATACACACTGACACAGAGCAGAATAGGGACTGTTCCCCTACATAGGGTCACTTGGCAGATATGGATTGACACCTGTCCTCAGAGACCATGATACACACTGACACAGAGCAGAATAGGGACTGTTCCCCCTACATCGGGTCACTTGGCAGATATGGATTGACACCTTGTTACAAACTGCTATTTGTAACGGGCCCTTTAAATGGCAAATTGCCCTGCTTCCCTGGGTTGTGGAGAAGCCTATTTGCCAGCCACCTCCCGCATGACTATGGCCCCTGGGAGATTGTGAAAATGTATGCACTTTTATTTGGTGTGTATGGCCCTTTAAGACTGTCGGTGGGCATATTGGGGCTTATGGACTCTTTATGTGACTGGTGCTGGCCCTTTAAACACCTTTTTTGGGACATCAGGAAGATTGGGACACTGCCCCTTTAAGGCCGTGTCCCCAGACTTGTTGGGGACACGGCCCCTTTAAGACGGTGTCCCCTGTGTCCCCAGACCTGGTGCAAACCCTTTGTGCCTGCCTGGCTATTTCCCACTTGGTTCAGTAAATGGGGCTTACTGAACCAAGTACCACACAAGCAGACCACCCAGAAGTGGAAGTGTGCAGGCAATTTACCTCCCAGAAGCTGCGGTTAACCGCAGCTTAATTGACAATGCTGGGAGGTCTTTGTTCGTTTGCCGAACACGTGGCGGCGGCCATCTTTGATCATTCGGCGAGGTCAGCGGTATGTGTAGCCAAATTCATGGAACTAAAATCGGCTACACATTTCCGCGAACACCGCTGAGCTCT